AGTACCCTTTAATCATGTAAAGGGTTCTTTGAGTGTTCATAGTGCTATATAGAACAATTTTCCTTACTAAAGAACCTTTAAAGAACCATCTTTTTTAGGTGTGTGCTTCATTTGAGCACAGCTGCTGTCCTTTACATTGTGTGAACATTCCATGGTGATTCCACCAATAGAAATGCTCCAAAATTACTTGGAATAAAACCTATATAAACTTAGATTGAAAATAAAAAAAGGTTTTTGCCCTCTCCAGTGAAGTTACCATTTTGGACAGCAACGATATGCTAAATTAAAAGATGCATAAAATGTAACAAGATCTGAAAAATTAAGGTAGAGTTTATAAAAGAGTATATCCATACATGCCTGACTTACTAAACTACTATTAAAACCTAATAAGGACTGTTTTGTACACCATTTGAAAACATATAGACTTTCTTTTACATTTAAAAGAACACTTCAAACAATAGAAATGGTTTAAAATTTACTTGGAATAAATTCGTTTCATTATTGTACAGTAAAGTAAGGATGAGCAATATGATAATGTGATTGTGATAAACTATGCCAAATACACTTTTCTGAGTATACTGTGAGTATAGTTAGTCTTTCAAGAACACAGAACAACTGCATGTAATCCAAAAAAGATTTAGACCAGTTATAGAGATCTGACAATCAACAGCAACCAGGATATATTAACTGCATAAACTGCAGCAAGTAGCCCAACCAGATTAGACATCAGTCTATTACATTATTATCTTATTTCAGTATTTATCTTTCAGATTTTTCCCTCCTTAGTCCTTTTCTCGAAAATGTTTACTTAAAAATCATTGAGCTCACAGTTTTTTCTTATTGCCTTTTTAAAATATGGCTCTATTTGTCTATTGTGGTTGACACCACAGGAGTTCCCTGTGGTTGTTTGATGTATTTGTGTAATGCATGCTGGGTAGTGTAGTGAGAAAAAACATGGATGAACGAAAACAACATGTTAAGGGGCCGATGTGCCCCTTTAAAGTTAACCCCTTAAATGGCCAGGACTCACAGGCAGGTCTAAAGTTTTTCTGCACACTTCTATAACCTAAGAATAAGTCAGCCAGCTTGCATTGTAGTCTATGTAGTTACTGAATCATAAGCATATGTAGACAGCCTTTAGAATACTCTTATGTATATTTATCACAGTGCAGTATAGTTACTTTATATTGTAGTAGTGAAAATTGTTCCCACATCTTCAAACCCGATTCCAAAAAAGTTGGGACAGTAGGAAAAATGTAAATAAAAACAGACAGCAATGATCCGCAAATCCTTTTTGACCTGTATTCTATTAAAAACAGTATCAATAAAAAAGTTTTAATGTTTCAAGTAATAACTTTATTGTTTCTTGAATTTGATAAATTTGACATTTCATGTTTCAGCAAAGTTGGGACAGGGGTATGTTTACCAGTGTGTTACATAACAAGGGTTTTCTGAGTCCATATGGTTATATTCATTACAGAAGCATGTTGGTTTTTAATGCAGTGCTGTCTGAGAAGGTCACGGACATTTAATATTGGTTTTCAGCCCTGCCCGTTTCCTCCAGATTCTCTGAACCTGTTAATAATGATATGGAGTGTACATGGGAAAATTCCTAAATTCCTTGCGATTGTGTGTTAAGAAACATTGGATCTCACTCACTAACCGATCTTAACAAAAAAATTCTTTTTAAAACCCACTCATGCAGTTTTCATAAAAATTCTGACATTCACCAATGTTTTCTTATTAGGTAAGAACAGAAATCAAAAAAGTTGATAAGGTAAAATATTAAACTTCTCTTCTTTGTGCTGTTTTCAATTACATAAAGCTGTGAAATTAATTTCCGTATCTAGATGCCTTTGAGTCAGTTTTGATCTCACATTCCTCACAGCAGCAGCAGAGGCACAAACCGCAGCATCTAAACTGAACGCATCCTGTCATCTTCTCACGACTTCAAGCTTAGACTTGTTCCAGTGTGCTCCAGCAGCTGGTCCACTGCAGCGCAACTTGTTAGGTCACTTAGCAATTCTGTTCCACATTGTGTAGTAGCCTCAGAGCAGTGGCTTGTAACTGACACACCACACCCACTTACATACCCCCACACTGCTGATTAACATGACAGAATTTGCTCAATGAAATGAGGGATGGGGACTTGCATATTTATTTGATTGTAATATAATAAATATGAAATATTATTCAATCTGATTTTGCTGAAGTGATATTCCACCCATCCATAACATGTCCAGTATTTACTGTATTCTGCTCTTTGTCCTCTTTAACAACTTATTTAATAACTGATCACTGTTGTGTACATGCTATAGGGGTTCTGTATTGAGGCCCTGTGCTCTACAGGTGCTAGCACAACTCACAGTTCCAGTTTGCTGGTGTACAATTACAGTGGTATGCGCAATTGGTGGTAGCCATCCTGTACTTCAGGCCAGCGGGTCCTGTGAACTCACTTCGTCAGTCGTTAGTTTCTGCCCACAGACTATTGGAAACTGATCTACCATGAATGGGGAAGAGGGTGGCTGAGAAATGATGTGTAACAAGAGATGGGTAATTGCACACCTATAGAGTGGATCTATAAAGTAGGTGGAGCTCATACAGTGTCCACTGTACAGTCTACAGGGTAGGTGTCTATAAGAAAGTGAACACTGAGTGAGTATATAGTAAACTTGGAAAAAGTGCCCAGTGGCCATATTGTTGGTATATTTTAGATGGGATCTGTATTAAGGGCCCTGAGCTCCACACAATTCACAGTTCCAGTCTGCTGGTGTACAATTACAGTGCTGCTAATCACTAGAATCATAGAATTATTTGGTTTGTTGAAGGGTCAGCAAACATTGTCGTGATCGCAAAAGTGAGTAATAGCTACATAATTATGTTTGATGGTGTTGATCAGTATTAGCTGCATTGACTGTCTCGCCAAAGAATTAAATACTTTGACATAGATAGTTACACTGCATAAGTCAATCACTGTCACTTTTCAATTGTGAATAATTCTCAACACTCAAATTTATCCTTCATGTAACTGTCTACCTGTTACAAAATGATGAGCGCAAACTTTGATACGGGGAGATGGTTGCAAGCTTTTCCTGTTTATTCTCATTATCCAAAGACTTCTCCGTTGCTGGCTCAGCTCTTCAGCCTCTTTCCCCTCATCACGTCAGACAGTCGGGATACAATAAAAGCTTGTCTTTTGTTACTGTTGTTACTACAACCATGAACCACACAGCACTCCATGGCTATATGTAATGTCAGGATGCTTTAACTCACGCTCTACAAACGGTGGCTGTACAAGCACAGCTGTCACTGCTGGCATGTCAACAATATGGCGGTGGTGACAAGTGTCAATACTACAAGATTCTATTCTTATGTTTTAATATTACTGTTAGTTGACCTGCTCTTGCATTCCCTGCTAGAACAACCAGCACTGACCAGCACGGCTGGTCACCAGCAAAACCAGCATATCGTCACTGTCCAAAGAAAAACAAAATGGTAACTTTACTAAAGAGGGCTTTCAATGTAATATGGTGTAAAGAAATTTTATTCAAAGCAAATTTGGAGCATTTCTATTAGTCCAATCATCATGAAATTTTCACACAATGTAATGGACAGCTGCTGATTAAGCAGAAAACTAAAACCTGAAAAAAATGAAGATACTTTTTTTTTTTTTTGGACAGCGATGATAGGCCATGTTGTGATTTTGATGCTGGTATGCTGGTCAACCAGCATGACTATGCTGGGTGACCAGCTAAACCAACACCAGAACAGCACTAGACAAGTATGAACCAGCCTAGATCTTGTCTGCACTGTTTTTTTGTTTTTCAGCAGAGTAATCTGCCATCTTGCAATCTGCCATCTTTGGCAATACTGCATGTAAAGCAGTCATGCCAAAAACCCATCAGACTGAAAGTAACCTGACTGCAAAACCTTTCTCTGCTGAAAAAACTCATAGAAACCATTCTACTAACTTTTCTAAACGTCTGCATTATTCAGTGGTTGAAATGTACACAATGTGATTCAGAGTGGTTTGGTGTGAAACGGTTAATTTGTAGAGAAACGTAGCTACTGATTCTGATTTATTTACCGTGGTGGTGATAGGAACCAGGGGTCCTGATGTCTACAATGCAAATATAGCCATTTTAATTAATATCCAAAACCATCAATGTACACAAGTCTTCTGAGGTTTTTTATACGTAATGTTGATGGTGGTAAAATAGTGGTAAGAGTTTTCTTTGGGTACTATTTTGCCTTAGAACACGCTTGATGTATTCTTCCACCACAAACAGATTAGAATAAATTGATTAAAAATACGTTTTAGGCCAAAACTTATCTCAAAACTACTGTAAAACGACGTCTCAGACATCAGGCTGAGTATTCATAATCGTTTAATGTTATAACCGTCTGTGATGTAGCTTGTACAACTCTTCAGACGTCTGGTTTCTACAACTACTGCTGTGAACAATTCTGACTTATTAAGTTTTTCTAGAATTAAGCTCTAACTACTCTGAATGACTTTGTTTACATCTTAACCATTTAATAACGTCGATTTTTTTTTAAATAGACGGAGTTCCCCTCTAAGTGTTTCTGTTGGTTCCTAATAGTTTTGCAGTGTGTTTTGGCTTTTTTAATGGGTTAATATCACAAGGTATTCTACAGGAAATTGGTGATCTCTATTGGAAATCATTAAGCCAATTCCCATTAGAAAGCAAACCCATTAGGTTTTAATCCTAATGGTTTCTAAAGGTCCTTTTTCAGCAGGGTTCTCCTATCAACAAGATGCTACGCTACAAATGCGCAGCGTATACGACGAATGAAGGCTTTAAAAAAACACCGTTTTGAATGGAGTTTCTCTTTGAGGAAGCTAAAACAGCTTTACTACTCTCTCTCTCTCTCTCTCTCTCTCTCTCTCTCTCTCTCTCTCTCTCTCGCGTCACACCTCAAAACGGGTCTCCGGTGGTCTCTTCCTCTCTGTCTCCAGTGTGTAGTGGGTGGGCTGGTGTGAGTGAATGAGAGTTCGCGTTAAAAGAGCAGAAATGGCTCAGATGCTCTGATCTGTGAAGCTGCTCCGCACCAGCCGCTGGATTCACCCCAGACTCATCAGCGCGAGGACACTGAGAGCCACTCTGAGGTAAACTGAGCTCATCAAACTACAGCTGAGGTTCAAACGCTTTCAGCTCTGCCGGCTGGCCGGGATCTCAAACCCGCTGATTTGCTTTGATTTTTGCTTCAGTCTGAGGTAAAAGGCAACATAACTATCACTCTTAACAAAGATGGTTCTTAAAGGGTTCTTTAGTATGGTTTCGATTGATTATATTTAGTTCATGGAGTTCTCTATAGAACCATTTCATGCTTAACTCGTTCGTTAGATTTATGGAGAATGTGTTGTATATGGTTCCATATAGAACCTTTATGAAAATGGTTCTATATAACACCAAAAACTGTTCTGCTATTGTGTATGATGTCAAGCTTATAACAATAGAAGAACCTGTTTTGGTTCTATATAGAACCATTTTCATAAAGGTTCTATATGGAACACACTCTCCATAACTCTGAAGAACCATTTCTCCATGCAAAGATCCCTTTAAGCATTCAAATGATTTTTTGACTGTTCATGGTTCTATATAGAACCATTTTCTTTACTAAAGAACCTTTGAAGAACCATCTTTTTAACAATATACTACTGGATAAAAGTACCAAACCCTATTCATTTATTTTAGACCATCTTATTTTTTGCCCTTCCTACTGACTCTAAAATGGTTAATTTCCAATTTTATTATTATTTTTTTTCTTGTAATATACCCAAACTTTGTAACTGGAGCTTTGACAGTTCAAATGTACCGCTGTCTGTCCTGCCAGTGGAGGACCCTGAACTGAACTGAACTGATTTATCTTCCAGTTTTAGTTAAATGAGTGTTGACTCAAGCCCATTTAGAATGACTCATGCTATACTGTCAGAAAAACAGTGAACTGTACAGGTACATTTTTGTCCTGTGATGTAAATGTGAAGGTACAACATGGTCATTAAGGTGCAATCATGTGTCTTAAATAAGTTTTAAAGGTACACTGTGTTAATTTTGCATATTTGTACCTTCACTTTTTAAAAAAATGTTCAAGGTAATATTGCATATTGTTCCCTAACTAAAGGCACTGAAGACATACTTTTGAGGGAACCACCCAGTGACAGTATTTGTATACAATAAGTCCATTTTAGTACCTTTTATTTCTAAGAGTGTGGGTTTGGGCTGTTGTTTTAAGTGTAGTAAGGTGTTTCAAGATAGTAAAGCCTTTTTAAACTTTAAGCTGCTGGTAATTGTTACATATTAAGGCTGTAAACCTTAACAAAGGCTGGACTCTGTATTTTACAATGTAATAACTTGAGGGGAGGTCCATCAATTTTTCAAATGTTCTACACAACTCAATCTTTCAGATGTAAAGTCATTTAGAGTGATTGGATGGAAATGGTTCATTGTAGAGATGCTTACCAACCCAGATTTTTTTCAGTGCTGGTGATAAGAACCCGGAGTCTCGATGTCTACAACGCAAACCTGGCCATTTTATTCACTCTCCAAAACAACTAGTGGATTACACATACTCTGGGTATTTATATGTATTGGCAAATCTAAAAAAGTAAGTTTTCTTCTGGGACTATTTTGCCTTACAATGCCCTGCATGTAACTGTTGTAATGCATTAAAAATGTTTTAGGCCAAAACTCTTATCACAGCACTGTCGTAAAACAATGTTTCAGATAGATTGCTAAGCATATTTGTCACCATTTCTTGTGATGACTTAAGACACTGCAGATGTTTGGTTCCTAACAGCATGACTGTGAATTCTTCTGACTCGGTTTCCCTAGAACAGAATGATTCACATCAAACCACTCCAAATGACTTTGTTTACATCTTAATGATTTAATTATGCAGAAATTTTGGACAGTCAGTGGAATTCCACTTTAAGGCATCTCAGGCCTACAGCACCTGCCGTAAACCTTACCAATAGCTACAAAGATTTAACACAAAAGACAAAGAAACGTTTAGAATGCAAGTTTAGGCTTAAGCGCATTTTGCTTCATTTTATGTGACTGGCATTACAGTGCAAGTGAAACTATAATGCGCATGGATTAGCCTACATACTCAGAGTAACCAAAAGCCAAAGCACAGGTTATGTGCTATTCCTCGTTTATATACAGTGAAGTCAGATATGTGACAATGCAATACGACAAACAGGAGATCCATTTAATTATTTACAGTGACGCTGTTTTCCCCTCAAGACTTATTGACTGATTTCTCTTCTCCAACCCGGCCCTTCACTTGTGTCCAGTGCCGTTAGTTACTATACCATCTCTTTCATATGCTGTGCATATATTAAGCAGTTCTAGGCAGCTTTGCTAAGTATACACCTGGATTTCACAAGTAAGGCTAAAGGCTAAATAGTTCTCATTTGTTTTGAGAGATCCCCTCCTAGCTGGTGTATTCTGTGGAGCTGAATCAATGGGGTCTGGCTCCGAACAGGCGGCTCACATTTCCTCCATGATTCTGATACTGCTGCTTCTTTCAGTCTGGCTCCAGGGATTTGCTGCAAGCGAGTCATTTTAATGCATCAGCACAATGCTGGCTCTCTGAGGAAACCAGATCCCAGGCCTTTTCAAAAGCACCAAAATCTAAATAAGATCAATCTGGAGCTGCATCCCCTTTTGAGTGGACAGTGAGCTGTAGAACCAATCTGCATTCACATGGAATTAATATTACATCAGAAATGCTTTCTGTGGGGAGCAGAAGCGAATTTGAACGTTGAAATGTTTAGAATGGTGCTAGTGTCGGTTTTCCTATAGATCCTTTTAAGATGGTAGAGATAGCACCTTGCTCGAGCAGATGAGATCATTACAGTACAATTTTTTCAGAAATGTGCCCAAAACTGGCATGACCTGTGGCTTACAGATGGGTTTTAAAGGAGAATTCCACCAAATTTTAAACATTTCTGCCAAATATCTGCAACAGCATGTGGTGTTCAGATGACACCTTCTTAAAATATAGCTTAAAAAGAAGCAGGGTGTGTACGGCATACACTTATAATGCAAATGTGTATCACTTGAACACAACTTTCAGTAACTTTTCAAAATAGAAGCCCACAATGAAATTTGAATATTTATATTTTGTTAAAAAAGTCATCCCATGTGACCAAAAGACTGTATTTAATAAGCCAAATTAAAATATAAAAACTCACTTTGTAGCCATATGGTTTGGCCAGTTTAAAACATTTCTCCAGTTTTTGCTCAAGCAAACTCAGAGAACAGATGGACCAAAGGAAATGTAAATAAAAGTGAAAATTGTGAGTTTGTTCCATGAGCCCATTAGTAAATCAAGTGACCCCACATGTGGTCACAGTCCCTAGTGTGGTGACCCCTGTGTTGTAAGCCTGTCTGTGTTTTCAGGTTGTTGTTATGGCAGAGAAGTCGTGTGACATGGGCTCCGTTAATATTGCCATGGAAGACAGTCTGTGTAATGGAGGCACGCAGACACAGCCGCAGGAGGCTCCACTACTGACCCATCTGAAGAAGGTGGAGAACCAGATCACTGAAGCTCAGCGCTTCTCTCACCTCCCCAAACGCTCTACAGTGGACCTGGAGTTCTCTGACCTGTCCTACACTATCAGTGAGGGACCCTGCTGGAAGAAACAAGGTCAGAAAGTCTTCTTCAGCCAAAAAGCACTCTACTACCATCTTTCTCATACAATGACACCAATTAGATACTCTCCAGAGAAATGCTCTGAATTATAGATTACTTCTGTGCTTTTTCCCTTATAGAACACACAGTCACCACTGTAGATGAAGCATTGACAGTTCCTATCCATCTTCATTTTTAAATTCTTATTGTACAAACATCTATGGGTCAGCAGACTCTCAGTGTGCTGCTGTGGACCCCACTGTGTTCTGGAGTTTGCAGCAGCTTAGGAAGCAGATTTAATCAACAGTGGAGAGACAGAGAGAGAGAGACAGACAGACACATAGACAGGCAGAATGAGCTATATTATTTAGATTTGGGTATCAAAGCATTTAGAGACCCAAAAATTATTCTGCTTGCTAGCTCAACAGGTTCATTGCTGGTTCATTGATAGATAGATAGAACCTGGTTTGGCTTATCAATACATCATTAAGTCAAGAGCTGGTGATGAAATTGAACAAATCTAGGTGATGTCTGGGGGTGTCTCAAACCAAACCTTGTCCTTTGTATTAGCTCACAAGATCTCAGCTACTTTTTTGAAAACAAATATTGTGCTTGTGTATACTACACATAAAAATGTAAATATATATAAAACCCCCTTCAGTGCAACAGTACCCCTCTTGTCACTGGGGTGGTACCCTCAAGGGTACATCTCTGTACCTTTAGGGAACACAACTGTACCATAATCTATTGAAATTATATTTTCTAAGTTGTATTGACTCCACACACCCCGTCTCATCTCCAGGCTTTTTATTTTATTGCTCTGTTTTAAAACATTAGGTTATGAAAAGGTACAAATATGTACTTTTTGCCTGGAAAAAAACTTATTTAAGGAGCACAATTGGACCTTAAAACCACTGTTATACCTTTAAGGATACATTTACATTTTTTGTGTCCCATTTTTTTTTTGCCTCACATCACCTAGTAAGTCTATACTGTTCCTTTGTACGTTGCATTTGGGTTGTTGTGAACATCACTGCTGTGTGTAATGAATGTGCCTGAAAGCTTCAACAGCAGGTTCCCAATGCCAATTAATAGCAAAAGCAGTTCACGCTGATGCTGTTCATATGGTAAGATCAGGTCAGAACTACTTAAGGTGTAAGTGTTTTGTAGATAAATAAGCACAGTGAAAGAATTAAATTAGAACCGACGACTCATCCACTAAGTAACGGATTAAAGACTACGAGCTGTCTTGTCAGCCCTGCTGCTGTCTCACCCTCACCTCCTCTGTTGTTTTACTCAGAGATGAGTCATGCACTCTGAAGTCATGAGGACTGAGCATAGCACACACTGACTTGATGACTGAATAATGAATTGAGTTTATAGCTCTGGAAGGAGATTGCATACAACTGCACGAGTGCAAATGGAGTTAGAATAGTTATTTGATGGACTTGCCAATGTTAAAAGCACATTTCTTTTTCATAATGAGAATCTAGATGGTGTGACTGCAAGATAGGACTGCACAATATAATGTTTGTTAATCATTATTGCAATACTGGCTTTTGCAATGCTCATACTCACAAAAGGTGGCATCATGAAAATGAAACCTTTTAATAAAGCACTATTTTTTTATTTTTACTGTTGTGAGGATCCTGAACAACAACGTCACATGTTTCAAATTCAATGAAAGGGATTAATGCAACTCAACAAACAAAGTTTTGAAACAGCTAAAGTTTGAGTGTTGCTGAAGTTGTTCCTCTCTGTTCTTCAAGAGGGGTCCACACTTCTAGCATAAGGCAAAAGCTGCCCAGAGAGAGTTCTCTCCCCTCCTTTAGTCATACAGTCTCTTCTCACACTACAGCTTTATGTTGAAGCTGTGGACTGAAATGGCAAAATAAGTTGGTCAAAATAATGGTCAAAATAATGCAGACCAATGTTTCTTGTTACATTAATGTGGAAAAATAAAATGGTTGTATATAAGTTGTATATAAACTTTGTTACAGTTTCAAAACATACTTCTCACTACACAATCCACAGTCCATACATGGAAACTAAACTAAGCCTGTTTGTAATTCATTGTTTCTGTGATGTCAATGCATTTACCTCTGTCCATCTATTCAGCCTGCCGCAGTTTAGCCCCAGCTACTAACACTGAAGCTATAAGGAGTGTTTCAGCCTGGAATGCTTTTTTTTAACAAAGCACAGTTCCGGGCAGCCCATCAGAACAAAGTTGTTTTCATACAGTAGTCCTAATAAAGAGAGATTGGAAAAAGGCCATGTGAATTATGAATTATGAGCTCTTTTGGTACATAAAACCCAAACAAAGATCATAAACAGACGATGCACAAAAAAAATAATTCTATAAATAAGTAGTGTATTGATGATCAAGGGCCTATATCATGTACACCATTTTGTGTAATAAAAAAATTTCATGTGATATGTAAACATTGTTAAAGTTTAAGAGTGTACTGTTCACTCCCCCATCAATACAGTCCATATATGGAAACTAAGCTGCAAAAACTGCACTTTTAAATGTATTATATTTGTGATGTCATGATAACAAACTCATTTACATATATCCACCCATTCAGTCTACATCAGTTTAGCTCTGCCTATTCATGTTGAGCTCATAAGGAGTGTTTCAAAGCAGACTGCTTTTTGAATGAGGCACAATACAGGGCAGCCAATCAAAACAGAGCTAATTTATAAATGTATATATACACTGATCAGGCATAACATTATGACCTTATTTCTACGCTCATTGTCCATTTTATCAGCTCCACTTACTATATAGGTGCACTTTGTAGTTCTACAGTTACAGACTGTAGTCCATCTGCTTCTCTGCATACTTTGTTAGCCCCCTTTTACCCTGTTCTTCAGTGGTCAGGACCCCATGGACTCTCACAGAGCAGGTATTATTTGGATGGTGGGTCATTCCCAGCACTGCAGTAACACTGATGTGGTGGTGGTGTGTTAGTGTGTGTTGCGCTGGTCTGAGTGAATCAGACACAGCAGTGCTGCTGGAGTTTAAACACTCACTGTCCACTCTATTAGACACAACTACCTTGTCAGTCCACCTTGTAGATGTAAATTCAGAGACGATAGCTGATCTGTTGCTGCACAGTTTGTGTTGGTCATCCTCTAGTCCTTCATCAGTGGTCACAGGACACTGCCCACAGGACGCTGTTGGCTGGATATTTTTGGTTGGTGGACTATTCTCAGTCCAGCAGTGACACTGAGATGTTTAAAAACTCCAGCAGCACTGCTTTTGTTACTGTGTCTGGAAGATATGGTCCATTTAATATTTTGTAATGCATTGTCACAATATTATATTTTGTCCATATTGAGAAGGCAGTAGAGCCTTACTGCAATGCATTATGTGTCTGATGAGGTCAGTGCTCTTTCCAGCCTCACTAGGGGACAATGATTTTCCCCTGCTGGCTTGGCTGCTTACATCACAAACAGTGATTCATTCAGAGATACAGTGGTCCCTCTTGCAGTTTGGCCCCATTAGCAGGACGCCACTGTTCCCTTTAAGATACAGTGCTGAATGTGTCTGTTCTTCCAGCTATGATGTGTGAGTAATGAGGTAAGGAAAAGAAAGGACGACCTGGATGAACCCACACTTCTGAAGTTAATCTTGTGGCAGGTTCTGACCGTAACATAAAAGGATAAGACCACCTGTGATGGTTAAACATGAGGTTTGAGTCTTCACCTAGAAGCCGTGCTGACGTGTGGGAATAAAAGTAATCTAAAGTGCAGAGTACAGGAGTCACACCCCATGAACTCACTCTTGAAGCCTTTACAGAAACTCAGCTGTGAGAACAAGGCACTAGAAGCCTAACAGGCAGCTAATTAGAGGCCTAGTGCTTTGAAAGAGGGTCAGGTTCTGCCGACACTGGGATAGGCTTTATGTTAAGACTGATTATGTAATCGTGGGTATTGTAATTCCCTTACATCCTTAACATCAGCCTAATACGTCAACGAACCTCAAAAATAATCTTTAAAGAATAATCTATGCTGAAATGGCATCTTGATAAAGCTTGTTTTCCTGTGGACCATTTTGATTTGTTTCCACTTCTAAAATTAAACCAAAGGAAGCTGTACACAGTATTGTAAACATTAACCAGACAGAAAACTAGTTTTTATCTCAGTGCAATAAAAAGTACTGTCAGTGCACTATAAAGTACTGTCTTGAATCAGTTTACTGTATATGTCCAGTTTCTTGGTGCTAACTCCAGCATGCCACATTAAAAAAATGATTTGTAGTAGTGAAAGAAGTTTAAAATAAAGTACAGAGTAAAACTAAAGAAGGGGGAAATGCAGGGTGAAATCTGTTAAAAGTGAAAACCTGAATGTAAAATTTAAACCCAACCCAACATAAACAATTGAGTCCTGTCAGGTTCAGATAAATATTCTTAGTTTTACTGTATATGCATATAAACAATATATCAGCCAGCTCTATGCAGCAGCCAACTCATGTTAGGTGCACTGTAGTTAAAGGTACTGTATGACCCTAATTTTTCTCTCATCATATTGAGCTCTTTCTCTCTCACACATACACATACACACACCCATTCTCAGCTTTACAGAAAATATGTAGCACAGTCATGGGGTTCGCGGATTAAACCATACCTCTTTTCTTTGTATTTGAAGGGATTAGCTAGACGTGTTCCATTTATGCCAAATGAGAACAGTGTGACACTGGGCCTGTTCTCTGTATGCTTGCAGGCTACAAGGCCCTACTCAAGTGTCTCTCTGGGAAGTTCTGCAGCCGGGAGCTTGTTGGGATCATGGGACCCTCAGGAGCTGGCAAATCCACACTGATGAACATCCTGGCTGGCTACAGGTGAAGAAAAGAATAAGAGCCTTTGTATAAAGGTGTATCTACACTGTGTTCTTAGTCAGGTACACTTGCTTTGCACAAAACTCATTGGCTTTTAAGTTTTACCACATATTTTGCAGCAGTCTTTGCAGGCATACAGTTGACTGGCTGCCACCTACTCAAGCCACCTCTGCGGTGGTGTTAAGGGTCCAGGTGAGGTCATTAGTGCTGTGCACACCAAGGAACTTGGAGCTTTTGGCTCTCTGCACAGTTGAACCATTGATGTGCAGTGGAGAGTGATCACAACGATTCCTCCTGAAGTCTACAATCATGCTTTCATCTTATCAACATTAAGAGATAGATTGTTGTCTTTGTACCTGTCTGCAAGCTGCTTATTTGGGTGGTGGAACATTCTCAGAAGCACAGCAGTGACACTGACATGGTAGTAGCATGGCAGTCTGTGAGTTTATCAGGTTGTGTTGCTGGATTTTTTTAAAGACCTTGTTGGTTCACCTTGTTGGCGCACAATAGAGACTGCTGTCATTTTTCTTGCAAAGTTTGTGTGAGTGTCTGCTTCGAATGCTCGATCACCCACATATTATCTGGCCAGCGACAGCCTTATAGTGATACCTGTCCAACATTAAATGGAGTTTTATGTCAGATTTTAAGGCATTATTAATAAATATTCAAATAATACCCACCAACATTTAGGAGTCTTGGCTACAGGTTACCACACTGGATGTGTCAGGAGTCAGCAACACCACTTGGCATCTTACTATTACTGTACTATATTAAACCCAGCAGCTTGAAAAGTGTGAATCTAAAATCTTAAACAAATAAATAATAAATAATAAATGCTTACCGTCTGTCTTCACCTTAGCTAACATAAAAAACTGACCAAAATGTAAGACGCAGCCTCTGCACTGGTGGAGTATATAGTTGAGACATCTATTGGTTCTTATAAAAATGTATGTTAGGGACAAGCTCATTTGCACATCAAAAATCAGTCAGTAAAGCACTGTTTAAGATTAAAATTAAATCTAAAATATAATTATTAAATCATTTCAGCTGATATCAGGTATTGGTAACTGGTAATAGTACTGGCACAAAACTTTCATATTGGTCAGGCCCTAGTAGAGGTGGCTAATACACTGTGCAGCTACAGATTGTAACAGTAAATTACAGTTTGTAACTGTAAATCTACAAAGTGCACCTATATGACAGGAGTTTCTGATTAAAAGGCCAATGAGTGTAGACACATGGTGTGCCTTATAACGTAGTACCTCAGTCTATAAATGTTTTAAAAGTGAACACAACTAACATTTTCATGGTTTTATGCCAAATCTATCATAGGGAAACAGGAATGACAGGGCAGATCCTGGTCAACGGCAGGCCCAGAGATCTCCGCACCTTCCGCAAAATGTCATGTTATATCATGCAAGAAGACAAGCTGCTACCCCACCTCACAGCTCAGGAGGCCATGATGGTGAGATGCTGTGAACATGTGAAGTGGTGTAAGATGCCCTCTACTGCTTGCTCCATGCTAGTACACAGATTGCACAAGCATAGGAGATCACAGGTTTAGTTAAGCCTCAGATGTGATTAGGCTCCAGGGCTGAGCACTGAACTAATTAGAGACTTAATGTAATGTAGCTGCACGTTTCTGTACTGACTTCCTGCTGTTTCAGGTGTCTGCCAACCTGAAGCTCAACGAAAGTATCGAGGTGAAAAAAGAACTGGTGAGTAGCACTTAGTATAGCTTTAGCTTGCCAAACATTTATGCTTTACTCTTTTTGTCTCTCTTTCTCACTCTCACTGTCTCACTTGCTGCTCTGTGTGTGAAAGGTGAAAGAGATTCTTACAGCTCTGGGGCTCCATACGTGTGCCCACACTCGCACTCTCTCCCTCTCTGGAGGGCAGTGTAAGAGGCTGGCCATTGCACTCGAGCTGGTGAACAACCCTCCAGTCATGTTCTTTGATGAGCCCACCAGGTAAACATGCTGTTCTGAACATAATTCCCAACATGACATGGAATAATGTAAATGGAACATTTTAAAAATGCCATAAATGGAGAGGATTCTGTGTCAGAAGTGTCAGAAGTACTCATAACAGATATGACATTTTCTGTGTCCGAAATGGTCCCCTAATCACGCTGGAAAATCTGGATCACTATATAGAGCACTATTATACGGAACAGAATTGGTGATGGTAGGAAAAGATTTTGGACACTGCATCATATGGGTTTGCTCATTAATGTGTGACAGCAGATTCAGTTACATAAACCTATAAAAGTCATGGCACCAGTCCACTATAGCTGCTGAGTTTGATGGCACACATGAGAAGAGCTTATTTACATCTGTAACAGGTTTGAAGAGAGCTCTGTGGAAACGTTGCCATTGTAGCTGCGCTCAAAATCCCACTCAGAGAAGTTGTGCGTGAATCTTCAAACCAAACAGCAAAGCGCATTATGGGTATCACCTACCCACTAGGGTACATTGGTTGTACACTACTTATTGCGATGTATTGTGGGATTGTTTGAGTGCACTGGTCTTCTGCACTGTGGTTTCGGACACCACTACAAAACGGCTGAATCCCAAATTAGCGCACTATATAGTGAATATGACATATTTGTCATTAATGACATGTGGAAAACCTGCCAAACTGAAACAAAACTTCCATTACGTTGTTCCAGTATTGTTGGATCAATTTACTGAATATTTTTGTGTTAGAACTAAACAGGAATCCAAACAGGACTTTTTTAAGAAGACAAAGCTGTGTTCCAAGTACACCATTGCATTTTTTCATGGCCTCACAATAAGGCTGTCACAATTATGAAGTTTTAGCTAGTGGTTAATTGTCATATAAATAAGTGTGATTAACCATTTAATTGCCTTTCTTGTTCATTGTTTGCAGCTATTAAAATACAGGCCTAAAGTGACCAGATTGGCTAATTAGCTACTTTACTTACTAGCTATGTTTGCTTTGTAGCTAACACTGGTTGTACTGTTAAATCGTATACTGACACAAAGACAGTTACACAGAATTAGGTTAGAGGTAGAGTTAAGCAAAGCTACATGTTCTTCACGAAAAAAAACTATAGGCCAAAACACCCATTCTGCAAGCATACATAGCATACATGACATTAGCTGCCTAGCTAACAAGTAAACAAATAGCGCTGTGCTCATAACATGTTAGAACTTTTTATCTCATGATGTCAGTGAATGCATTTACTGCTTTCTTTTATTTACATTTATTTGCCTCAACGCAACACACCCAATTCACATGAAATCTAACAGCGGAAAATGAATGCAGTCAGCTTAAATAATTGCAGTCATCTCAAATAATTGCAATTAGATGACTATGTAATAATTATGATAGGCCTCCTAGTCTTAGCTTTCTGTCAAAGGCTTCTTAAAGAGGCAGCCAGATGCAAAGTGTAAATAAAACACATTTGGCACTTGTACCCAGCCTCCTGGTCTGCCTCGTCAGCCCATTCGTTACACAAAGGAAGTTGAAACAGTTTTTTATGTTATTTCATGTGAAATATTTATAAGTATTCATACATTTTGTGGGTTTTGTTGCTCTATGTTCTAAACAGATTTTTGGTCAATAACATAATAGTCTGTGACTATTGTAATCTGTAATAAAGTACACATCATTTTCCTTTCTCTGTCCTTTGCTTGTTTTTCGGAGGGAAGTAACATCAGAATGAAATGAAGTTTGAAGTTGTGTTTTTTAGATTAACTCTTTTTCACACATCAATAATGAAGAGTACTGTCATTTGTGTGTTGCATGCCATGACTTATCACAATAATTTGTGATAAGATCTGGAACAGACTCTTCTTCGTAGACATGCAGCTGTATGACCACTAACATCATTCATACTTATTGTAAATATTACCTAAAACACTAGTGTGATGTTGCTTTCTGTTTATTCTGTGTCTGCCACTTTCTTGGCTCTTTCCTCTTCTCCATGGTGACAGTGGTCTGGACAGTGCCTCGAGTTTTCAAGTCGTCTCATTAATGAAGTCTCTGGCCCAGGGCGGACGCACCATCATCTGCACCATTCACCAGCCCAGTGCCAAACTGTTTGAGATGTTTGATAAGGTGCTGCATCTGTTTTATTTTCACATAAAGGGACTGTGTGCACTCCTGACTGACCACCGTCTGACCGCTGTTCTCTTGACCTCTCCAGCTGTACATCCTGAGCCAGGGACAGTGCATATACAAAGGCACTGTGCCATACCTCATCCCTTATCTGAGAAACCTGGGACTGCACTGCCCTACGTACCACAACCCTGCAGATTTCAGTGAGTCTCCTTTAAATGATGATTCTTTGACTACTGAATACATTTTATAAAACAGACAGTTCCAGATGTAAAATCAGCTAAGCCATGTTTGAAACCGCTGTAAAATACATGATATACACAAATACAACCACAGACATCAACTAAATTAATGTAATAATGCACCATGTTATTAAAAGTAGTTTTTTAAAAAATATATAAACTCTGAAGTAATCTTTGCTCAGCAGTTATAGCCTACTATTAACAAAATATATTGCTCAGTGGAAAAAACCTATTATTGCACATTTTTCTTGTGTTTTATTTTTTCCCTCGTGGTTCACCTTTTACATTTGTGTGGGTTTACATGACAATTTTCCAACCTTTCTTGATCCCTTAGAATTAAATAAGCTGTTTTTGTTATGGTGCCTTTCAAACTGATATATGTAAATGACCTCTGTTCTGATTGACTGCCCTTATAACTACAGAATGAATGGGCAGGGTTAAATTGCTGAGGGTGGAATGTATATATATGTAAATGCATTTTTTTGTGACTCACAAAAACTGAATTCAGAAAAGGCTGTTTTTGCAGCTTAGTTTCCATATATGGATTGTATGGACTGGAGAGTGAAGAGTAGTTTTAAACTTTAATAATGTTACATATTACTCTTTTATTTATTTTGAAAAGTGAGGAAAATTAAACTTTCTATGATATGAGGCCTTTAATCATATTAAGCCCTTTGTTGAACATTGATGTATTTTATAATATTGTGGTTTGTTTGCATTATATTAATTGCATTATGTCTAACAACATACCTTATCCATCGTCAAATTGCTGTAACACATGGCCTATCGTGGCTTATTTCTTTGTTTAAGGGTGCTTTACATCAATTGTACATTTTACATTTTACAATGCTTCAAACAGGAGAGAATTATGTTAATAGTTTTGCAAATTTTCACATTATTTCAATCCAGTGCCTTTGCGTACTCTCTTTCTCATGTCCAGTCATCGAGGTGGCATCAGGAGAGTATGGGGATTTAAACCCAGTTTTGTTTGAAGCTGTCCAAGGTGGAATGTGTGTTCTAGAGGAGAAGAAGAATTGCTGCGGAAAAAAGGACACCTCAAGCCCCTGTCCTGCAAATTGTCCCCAAGTGAGTGAATCATGATGTGACCCATGTACAGAAGAGTGATTGTGGCAAAGTTCTTTAAGGGGGCAGTCATGGGCTGGAGGTTAGGGAACCAGCCTTGTGACCGGAAGGTCACGTACTGAGCCGACAGTACGTGACTGAAGTGCCCTTGAGCAGGGCACCTAACCCCTGTGCGTGTGCATGCATTCTCTAGTGTGTATGTGGTGTTTCACTGAACAGATGGGTTAAAATGCGGAGGTGAAATTTCCCAGTTGTGGGACTAATAAGGGTCACTTAACGGGGAAATTTAGTCAGCATTTACAGTTTAGGTTATATCAATCAATTGTAATTGAATTTAGAAAAACGCAATCAAAAAGCATTAAGGGAAAAATAGGTATGCAGAATTTGAGGTAATGATACAGTTGATGCAGTTCTTATACAGTCTTAATATAAAGAAACTAACTTTAAACTGGATGATGAATCAAAGCTGTAGTCAGGGAGATTTGCAGAGCTAATGTTATTGCAATCAAATCTATGATATAGAATCAGTAAGTTTTTCAAGAGAGAAAAAAACTGTTTACTTCATTGAAATCTGATATATTTCTGTTGTTTCCTGAATATTATACCTTTAATTTTACGATTATTCTAACCCACTGTCCAAACTGAGTCCAAATAGTTTGCAAACATAAAGCATATTGCAAAGTGTATTACACCTTTCTTAATGTTGGTCTAACCTGACGTGATTTCATTTTGATTCCTTAATGACAAGAAAATATGAAGTTATACATGCCTCACCATGGTTTATGTGTGTTTGTTCCATTCTTTATTACTTTGTAGGACTCTGCAATTGTTGAGAGCCATACATTTGCAACAAGCAGTTTGACTCAGTTCTACATCCTCTTCAAAAGAACATTAATAACAATATGCAGAGACCAGGTATGTACAATGCTACCTACATAAGGACTTCATGACATAAGCATTGAATAAAGAATTTGAAAAAAAGCAATAATTGAGTATTTATTAACAACTATGTCAGCATTTGCAAGATAGCATAAAATATTTTATGAAGTAAATTTGTAACACTGTTATAAAGCACCATTCCCTTATATGGCAGAGGCCTACCATAATTCCCATATGTAAACCAAATATGTATAGCTCCACTTACCATATGGGGCACAGTGGTGGTGTGTTAGGGTGTGTTGCGCTGGTCTGAGTGAATCAGACACAGCAGTGCCGCTGGAGTTTTTAAACACTATGTCCACTCTATTAGACACTCCTACCTTGTCAGTCCACCTTGTAGATGTAAAGTCAGAGACGATAGCTCATCTGCTGCTGCACAGTTTGTACTGGTCATCCTCTAGTCCTTCATCAGTGGTCACAGGACGCTGTTAGCTGGATATTTTTAGTTGGTGGACTATTCTCAGTCCAGCAGTGACACTGAGGTGTGTAAAAACTCCAGCAGCACTGCTGTGTCTGATCCACTCAGACCAGCGCAACACACACCAACTCACCACCGCCATATCAGTGTAACTGCAGTGCTGAGAATGATCCACCTCCCAAATAATACCTGCTCTGTGGTGGCCCTGTAGGAGTCCTGACTGTTGAAGAACAGGGTAAAAAAAAAGTATGCAGAGAAACTGTGAACAGGACTACAGTCTGTAATTGAACTACAGAGTGCTTCTATATGATAAGTGAAGCTGATGAAAATTGACAATGTGCATAAAATGCAGAAGTGTGCTCTCTGTAGAAGATAGATCAACAGAACATGTAATTTGATCTGGGGTGCCTAAACTTTTTTATGCAACTGTATGTCTGACACTATAGCGATCCAATGTAATTTACTCCATGTTGTATAACCAGTATGATCTTATGTGATGCTGTTGCTTATGTTAGGTGTTGACACACTTGCGGCTAATGTCCCACATCAGCATTGGAGTGTTGATAGGCCTGCTTTATCTCAACATTGGCAATGATGCCAGCAAAGTGTTCAACAACACCGGATTCCTGTTCTTCTCCATGCTCTTCCTCATGTTCGGAGCCCTCATGCCTACAGTACTCACATGTGAGTGGGGAACAAGGAAAGAGCAACATAGCGATGTTCATTATTCATTTAGATCAGTTCTTTTGTTGACATGTGCATTCAGAGGTTGGTAGAGTAGCCTAAACTACTAATTACTCCAATAACATAGACAGTTAAAGTATAACTGCCACAATAACATAATTAGTTAAAGCATGAACTTCAGAACTTCAGTAAAATAATTAGTAAAAGTAAATGTAATTATTATTTTTAAGTGCCGACAAGTCCATTCCAACTCCCAGTGACCATATGTATAGTATTTCTCCAGAATATCCTGCCTTTTGTTTGGGTCTTTAGGCTTCTTAATGTGTTTTTAATTTATGATTCCTCTGATTGTATCTGTCCCTCTTGCAGCTGGTTTTCCTCTTTGTTTTTTACTTTAAACTTTTCCAAGCATAATGGTCTTTTCCAATTAATCTATTCTTTTCATGATATGTCTAAAATAAGAGCGCTTCAGTTTAGTTATGTGGGCTTCGAGTGAGGGTTGAGGCTTGATTTGGTCTAGGATCCATTTCTTTGCTGTCTAATGTACCCTCAGAAGATTTTTCCAACACCAAAGTTTGAAGATATTAATATTGTTTATTGTCCAGCTTTCACATCCATAAAGAACCATAGCCAAAAAGAACATAGCCTGGACAATTCTCATTTTTGTCTGTAGAGACAAATTGTTGCATATGAAGATCTTTTTGAGTGCCTTCATCCTTGTTCTGCATAGGGTTGTTTGATTTTTCGTAGTTCTGTATAGACCCATTTTCTTTACTAAAGAACCCTTGAAGAACATAACGTGTGTAAAATAAAATGCTAAGATTTCACAATGAGTGTGTTTACATGCACTCAATAATCCAATCATAATCGGATTATCATTGTGTACTTTCTGCAGTCATCCGATTATTTACATGGTCATGTAAACAGCGTACTCCGATTTAAGAAATCCAGTGGAAGTAGATTTTAGCTCAGTAATAAGATTTCTCAGTGAATGTATACTCTTACTCTGATTTCTTTCGGATTTCTCAGTCTGTGCATGTGCGAAAACAGACCACGGTACCAGAAATAAGCAAGTAGTTTTGCCACAAGATGGCAGCAAAAAACTTTTGGAGCTACGCTGAAACCAACTACATTCTCGACAAAATGAAGAATTTAAATATTCTTCATCTTCTGGATGATGTTCATGATGATGTTCTTATTTTCAGGTAAATTAGCGCAATGTTTAAAAAAAAAACAGAGTTTTACATTACTTCACGTCTTCTTTTGTGAGTTTATTGGCCGGTTTCAAAGCAGAAATGTGATTCCAGCCTGACTCTAGTAGACCCGGAGGTTCCCATTATCTGATTACTCAAATGCATGTAAACGCATTAGATTATCGGATTACTGGCAAAATCTGATTTTCTGCAGTTATCGGATTATTAAGAGCATGTAAACGCACTCACTGAGAGCCATAATACACTTGAGTTGAAGTATTGTCATTTAAAAATACTCAGGGAGTTACATGTTACTACATGTCACTGGGTAAATGGAACTAGTTGCTACCCACCTCTGTGTCTTTAATCTGACTGGGGAAGTACAGGAAGTCAGACCGGTTTTTGCTTGCTTTCAGTTCCTCTGGAGATGGCTGTGTTTCTGAGGGAACATTTGAACTACTGGTACAGTCTGAAGGCCTACTATCTGGCCAAGACAATGGCTGACATTCCATTCCAGGTGAGTGGCTGTCTGAGCCTCCGTGAGTCGCCTATGTGTTAGATACGAGCCGACACTGGGAACCTCTTTGAACAGAAAGGTGGCACTGGCATTTCAGCACAGCCTAATCACTCTGGAGGCATGTTAAAATGGAAGACAAAAGGGGCTTGAGGCTCTTGTGATCTTGAAAATAAAAAAGTTCACAACTTTGATAGTATGTGGCTGCTGATTTTTTTTCTCATGGATTTTGTAATCTCTTTCCCAGGTCATCTGTCCTCTTATGTACTGTAGCATTGTGTACTGGATGACTGAGCAGCCTCCAGAGGCGAGTCGCTACTTACTCTTTCTGGCCTTGTCCATCTGCACCGCCCTGGTAGCGCAGTCTCTGGGACTCCTCGTTGGTGCTGCTTCTACCTCTCTTCAGGTACTTTCTGAAGGTAGTCTACTGTCTAGACTAGAGCCTGATAGATTTGCCAGCTGATAATATCAGCAGATATTGAGAACTTGCAGTTTTATCAATATGAGCAAAAACGTAGCTGATAATGTCCAACTTTTTTGTTGCAGCATCCCCTTGATGCAAATAAATAATGAGGTGAAACCTTGAACTGTTGAGCCACTAGGCAAGCCAGTATGAGTCAACCCAAAAAACATGCAAAATGTATTCAAACTTATCCTCTAGCATTAGAATACCACATTATAATACAAAAGGAATAATGAAACAACTAAACCAAAAGACTTAAATAGCAAAAAATCGAAACCACATTGAATTGTGAGTAGCTCCGCCCCACTGCTACAATGCTATTGTCATTGTTAGGACAAAACCTTGTACCTCCATTTTTGAAATATGGAGAAATAGAAATTGCTGGTTCCTCTTTATATTGTGTTAAAATTTTAAGAAGGTTTGTGCCTTTTCATGTGAAGTTACCATTTTGGAGATATGAGGTTTTGTCCCTGTAGTGATGTTACATTATTTCAGATTGTGAGTTTTGGCTGTTTATGCTAGCTAGTTGATCAAATCCATTAGTAAAGCACTGTTTATCTAAAACTGTTGGAATATAAATTTAAAATATAAAAATACAAATTTTAAATTATATCAGCTGACATTGGTTATTGGTATCAGCCACAAAATTGTCATATCAATCAGACCCTAGAATAGACCAGGACCAATTATAAAAGATTGCGATCCTGTAGTGAAACATAGATAAATAAAAAAACACATTAAGGATTTTGGGGGGATTTTGTGATATCAAATATAATTAATTCTAACATTACAAATTTGATGTAAATCAATCACCAACTTTATCAATGCATTTTTATATCAATAGCTAATAAACCCTTTTCGAACCTTCTACCTTCTGAACATAGAACTATAAACAAGGTTGGTAAGTAACAGAATACAGTATTGGGAATGTGTATACAGAAATTAAAGGGTCTGTATTCAGTCCAAGTTATATTTTATTTATATTTTATAAAGCTTTTAGAATACAGTTACTTTTTACATTTTTAGGAGAATACCCTTGAAGATACTTACTCACTAAATAATAAAAAAACAGGCAATCTTTAAAAGAAACACTTTCAATGCTTGTTCATTAAATATTGTAAAATCAATACATGGCATGTGGCAAACATGCTTGTCAGACAAACTCTAAAGAGGACCTTAGTTATTGGCTTCTTTACAAACACTTAAGTTTCTGCTAAAGACTGATTCAACTGATAAATCAATGTGATGAGCAGGCCTGGACCATCCAGTGACTTTTATGGGTGTGTGCCCAAGGGCCTGAGCCACTAGAGGGCCTCCACAGGCAATTATGAGAAAACATAAACAGCTGTTTTGACTCGAGGTGGGAACTTTACCAGCAGCATAAGGAAAAAATTAACTCATTTGTCACTGCATTACAGAGGATAATTTTCTGAATGTCTATTTTATTTCTCCTCCAATCACTACTTAGCAACTGTTCCACTATCCACCATCACTTTGGTCAAGGTTTCAGATTTAAGCTACTGTTCCTATGAATTTATTTTGAATTTGAAGCTCCAGATGTGTCTGGGGCTCTGGACAAGAGACCTGATACTTTACCAAATATAAAATGTCAGCCCCGAGTAAAAGAAAAAAGTTAGATCGCCCTTGTCAGCAGTGATCTGTGAACTGTCATCAGAGGTAAGATATAAAAGGAAAAACAAAAACATTTACTGAGCCTGCTGTGGCAGTATGCTTTAGCTAGGATGCTTAATGGTTTTGCATCCTTTTTTTGTTTTTAGGTACATTTCAGCTGTCAGATTTTAACTTGTCTTCACTGTTGTAAATGTTTTGGTTTTGCAAAGTGGATGCATGTTTTTTATAGGGAAGGGTTTGCATTGGTTGTTGGGTTTATACTAACCTGTGCTCTTGTTAAGGTGTAATCTTGCTATTGCTTTTTGTCGATTGGAAAGAAATTTGCGTTTATAGCTGTGATGTGCTCAACACTGCATTTAGTATGCTGCCATCATGGTGCTGCATAGGCTTTGTGTAACCTGCTGTGATATAAAAATTCACTGACTGCCTAAACAAGGTAGCCATAGAGGGGCCCACCAAATATCTGTGCCTAAGGGCCAGTGACTTGATGATATGGGCCAGTGATGAGCCAGTTGTACTGTAAAGGAATATCTTAGTGAATACATTTAGGACAGTATCCTACTTTTTAAAAGTATTTTGCCCAAATCTAACTATTATGGAGACATTTGAGTATTGCAGCATGTAATATGTATCTTCCTTGCAGGTGGCCACGTTTGTTGGTCCAGTCACAGCCATCCCAGTCCTCCTATTTTCTGGCTTCTTTGTCAACTTTGACACCATTCCAAAGTACCTGCAATGGAGTTCTTATGTCTCTTACGTTAGGTATGTCCTATTGCTTTCAAATTTAGCAATACTGTAAGGAAAGACCTCTTCTCATGGGAGGCTGATTGTTTCTTTGACAGATACGGCTTTGAGGGGGTCATTCTGTCCATCTACGGGATGAACCGCACAGAATTAGAATGCCCAGGAAAGGTCTGCAAGTTCCAGAAGCCTGAGGAAGTTCTGCAGTTGCTGGATGTAGAGGATGCCAAGCTCTACATGGACTTCATCATTCTGGGCATTTTCTTCCTCATCTTCAGGCTGGCTACATACCTGGTGCTGCGGTACAAAGTCAAGATTGAGCGATAGTATTTATTTAAGTCATTCCTCTCTTCTGTGCCAAGACCCTGACTGGTTTCCATGTCCTGTGACGTAACTCCAAACTGTAGTATAAGATCAGTTCAGAAAGTGCCTGCTCAGGAAATTCACATTCATTATTGTATATATTATGTTGCTGTGTGTTTCACCTCAGTAGTTCTCTGGACGTATTGCACCGCAGTATTGATAGGTCATTTCATCATAGTACGGTGACTGTATTGCTCTCTCTATACACCTACATCTTTTCATACAAAGTTCATGGCGACAATTAAAAGCTTGAAAACCTCGGAGGGACGGTTCCTGAGGAATGAGGTCAAGTGAGGAGAACGTCACGCAAAAGGGCGTCTACAGTGGCCTACATATACTCCTGCAAAGACTGCTGTTACAATGTAACTAAAGGAGGGTTAAAAATAGAAGACTGTGGATGACCCACACAGTGCCTGTGTTTCCATGACATATCATGTTCCTGTAGGCATTTTTCCAATCTTTTGTCCTTCTTAATCTTAGTTTCTTAAAGTTATCACTTAGATATAGGTTTGACTTGAAGGTGCGGATGTTTTTATAACTCTGTGCCTCGTTGAAACCAAAGTATGATTTACAAACTTTTTATTCAACATGTTTTATACAAGGTTCGTATCCATATGGCTGTTCAGTTTGATCTCTACTGAATCACCTTTTTTGTTTCCAAAACGTGTTTAAACGTGCAGTTATATCTCTTGTGATAAACAATAAAATGATGAGATTCATCAGCTCACCTAGCCATTACTCTTCTTTTGATTTTTTTTGGTTGTAAAGTCACCTGTCAGCTTGTGCCGTGGAGACTACATGGCCTAGTATGAAAATATGGCATTTCTAAAGGAACAGCGGATTGGTGTGAAATAGTGTATAGAGAAACTTTTGTTTACAATGGTGGTGATAGGAACCAGGAATCGGGATGTTTGTAACACAAATTCAGCCATTTTATTCACTACCCAAAATGATCAGTGAGCCCACATGTGTCTTCTTAGTGTTTATGTGCAATGCTTAGTAATATTAAAATAGTGGCAAATCTGAATAAAACAAGTTTTCTTTGGGAACTGTTTCCCCTCCCTGCCATGAATGGATTTTTAAAACAGGTTTTAGGCCAAAATGTCTCTCTATACTAACTTTAAAACAATGTCTCAGGCATCAGGCAGCATATTCGTATTTATTTCATGTACTAGGTTTGTCTGAGGAAGCTTTTAGAGGCGTTCATCTCTTGAGATGTCTCGTTCCTATCACTACCACTGCAAACAATGCTCACTGGTACCTTGGCAAGTTCTTTTAGAACGGAGCATTTCACTCCAAAACAATCTGTATGACTTTGTGTACACCTTAATGATATAATTATACAGTTGCTTTGGAAAATCTTTGTGCATTTTTTAACAGGAGGGTCAAAAAATGGGTAACAGGTTTGCAAATTTAGCCTAAAGTAAGCATCATTCAGGAGTGGTTAGCTTGACAGGGTCCACATGTTGCATGCTAACTACTAATAACTGTATAGTTTAAATGCACTGAGAAAATATAAATATATATTCTTTTTTCCAACAATAATTTTGGTATCTGGGTTGAATGATCAAGCTTCACCCATGCAGCCAGATCTGTTTTATGTTTGTAAACTGAGAAAACAGATTGAGAGCGCTCAGTGCTCACTCGTCTCATGGTGATTCTTCAGAAAACCAGACGATGATGCAAATTCCTGTTTATATCATGATAAAAGGAATGTTCCATTTTTTTCACAGGGGGAGCAGGTTTGGGGAACAGGGTTGCACGGAATTGTTTTTGTTAAATTAAATACATTAATAGGGAAAAGTAATTCCTTTAACAATAAACTGCTTGGAAATAAACAAAATAACATTGTAATAAAGATTTTAATGAATACATTTCAGAGAAATTTAATGTCAGTGAGGTGGGACAGCCCAAAATCACTACAATAAGGTAGACTTGTGTTTTTGTGTCCATTTAATTTAAACATTTTAACTACTTTATTTTAATGTGAGGTACACATCCCTTCATTTTTTACAAGAAATAAAAATGTTACTTTATTGCTTTCAAAAAGATAATGGGACATAAATTGAACTCTGGGCGCGCCGGAATGTCTTTGACTTTGAGTAATCAGGCAGACAACATGAACAAGTGAAGGCATGAATCAGTAAGTAAAGAGAGGTTTTCTCTCCTCTGTATGAACAGGAAGTCAGTCTGAGTTGGTGACCGTGCAGTTCTAACCGCACTTCAGGGTGGCAGACAGTTATTTATTTACACCATGACTCTGGAGGTTCAACGGAAAAACGCTCAAGCGTCGGTAAGCTAACGTGAACTCTCCTTAATTCGCTAATTTACTCTTAAGCTTTCGCAGTACGAGGTCGCTGCTCCTCTGCTCTATGGTCTGTCAGGAGTCCTCAACCCAAATCAATAGGCTTAAAGTTAAACACAGGTCGCCTCCTCCTGCATGGCGAGGGAGACTCCGAGTTTACTGTCATAAAAACCTTATCGTTTATTATTGACATTAGCAGGCTTAGTCATTAGCAACGGCATTACAGTGCAGTAAGATAATGATTGCTTATGCTAAGCGTAGCTTAGCAACTCAAGCTAACGTAGCTCCGTTGACTTAACCTACACTGTCCTCAGTGGTTGTAGTTACTGTCTTGGGGTACATACGGTTCAGTAGGTTAGCGTTAACATTCACGGTTAGATACTGTCTGTTCAGATATGTGAGGTCTTTGTCTAAAATGAGCAGAATTATGTGTCCCAGTGGCTGAATCTCGTGTCCTCTGTAAACGGTAAACAGACGCCTGCAGCTGTTCTGGTCTGTGTGGCTGTCTGTCGTTATTCCGTTTGCTGCATAAACCTTCTCTTGAATGTATGTGGGGTACTGGGGTAGCTCTCTCTGGTCGCCCAGATAAACAGTTTTAAAACTACTCATGGGTCACACTGCACTTACACATCGTTAAAAAGAACAGGAAGAACCTAAAATTATTTGGCGGAAGCTGAGGTTTTCAGTAAATGAATGAACACGAAGTTGCTGAGCTCCCAGTTTGATAGGTAGGACTAACGTACACCCACCTCAGATCTACACTCAGGATTCACTTTATTAGAAACACCTACAACATATCCGTGTTGAAAAGAACCGCAGATATCATTAAAAGTTTCTGTTCTGCATGTTTGATTTAAAGGAGTCCTGTTAATGCAGTTTAATTGGATTTAGTGCAGCACAGCGTGTAAAATGTTGAACACAAATGATTGGATTCATAGTTTTTGATAGGATTTTAAAATGTGGTACTACTTTGTATTTTCTAACTTATCAAATGTCAGAAAAAATAAATATCATGACATCCCTGCTGAAGAAAGATTAGAACCATTAGGACCTAATGGTTTTTGCTTCCTAATGGGAATTGGGAGGATCCTGCAGGATACTCAGAAACCTCAGAAATCTGATGCATCTGGAATCAGTCATAGGTCACGTGCTAAACCATTAGGATCCTTTACATTGCGATATCAACCCAGCAGGAAAAGCCAGAACACATTACATAACCACCAGGAACCAACAGAAACACTTACTGGTTTCTATGTTTTATTTTTCAGCAGGGATATTGTGTATCGTAAAAAACCTATTCTGTTGTGCTATTAAACTTCGCCATACCGCACAGATGCATTTTATGGTTTCCTAATAGGATCTAGTGTCCTACAGGAAGCTAGTGGTCTCTAATGATAACCATTAAGCCAATTCCTATTAGAAGGCAAAACTATCAGGTTTTAATCCTAATATTTCTAATGGTCTTTTTTTCCAGCAGGAAGGTGCACGCTTGTAGGTTTAGTTACTAATTGTAGCCCATCTGTTTCAACCAAGCAACAAAACTACTACAGGACCACTACTGAGCAGATATTATTAGGGTAATGTTCTCACCATGGTGGTGGCATGTTAGTAGGTGTTGTGCTGGTACAGGTTGAGAATAGTCAACCAACAAAAAATACCTGCAATCTGTGATCCTGTGTCCAGAAACAAACCATCAATGAAGGGTTGGAAGACTGTCACAAATTACACATGGAATAAGATGAACTATAGTATCTACCTGTACACCTGCTTAGTCATCTTTAGAAGGTGGACCAACAAGGTAGGTGTGTCTAGTAGTCAACAGTATGTGTACACAGTGTTTCAATAACACAGCTATGCATGATACACTTGTCACTGTCAGTGCAGTGCTGAGAATGATCCACTATCCAAATACAATCTGTTGGTTCTCTGGTGGTCCCTCTTTATTGATGGTAGGGTGGCTGTTACACGTGGGCTACTCTTAGTAACTGCATGCATAAAAAGTACACATTTAGAGTACTTGATAAAGTTTCCAATGAGTGTACAAAACAGAAGTATCTAAATAACAGTTTATGTTTCTGCAGTTTCTTTACTGTTAATTCAAGCTGGCATGTATTTTGCAAACAGTGCAGTTCATTGTGAGGCGCAGTGGATTCTTAAATGTAGAGAAATCTGTTTTTTTTTGTGCTGAATTTGTGGGTTGAAAACTGTGCCTAACTCCAGTGCATTTTAAAGACTGTTGCTATCTTACTTTAAAAAGTGTTGTTATTTTAGGTGGTGTCTTGAAGAGCAGCACAATGTGGCGATTTGGAAGGAAGACTGGAACAGGAGTAATAAGGAGGAGATACTGCGGAGCACAAAAAGATGTGTCCCACAAACCTCACCCAGCCATTACACAGAAAAGTACCTTTATCTTTACTGAGTCAAATGAGTTCACTCCTGATTTGCATGCAAGCTCTATTTCACTGATTTGCATTCTAATCATCATCATCTTTTTTATCAGAAGTTCATTTCAGCCTTCCACCGGGTGACTTCTATGGCGTCAGAAAGGCAGGGCCCATCTTATTTCCTGAGTAAGATAACATGATCTAAAGTGATCCCATGTTTTTATATTTACACAGTGAGTTGTTCACATCTTTATAGTGTTTGAGTTCTGTTTAATAAATCTGTTGTCCTCAGCAGGTGGATAAGCAGTTATGGAAGTGCATGGAGTTCATCTGCTTGTTTCAGTATGAGGTTGTTTTGTTCTGGTACATCTAACATAGGTGAGTTAATAGTACAGTATTAACTGTAACAACAAGCAAATGTCTGATATGTAGAGCCAGACCCAAATTTAACCTAAGCCCAGACTAAAAAGAATTTTCAATGGTAATTCTTCATTGACACTGAACCCAAGATTAGGCTTAAGCCATGTCTGGAAAACTGGCACTTTGGGTCAGATTCCTGGTCAAGGATTTTACCTACTTTTTCCATGAAAGATGTTTATTTCATGAAGCAGTTTTCATTGTCAGAGAGGAGTAAGCTTTTCAAGAGCCACAAGCTTTTGTTTGAGAACCACCTGCTTGGCCAGGAAGGTACATTAAGTATGCCAACAAGGTTAGCTAAAGTTAGCTGTCTAATGTTTTACTATAGTAAATAGTCAATGTAGTGCGGGTTTGGAATAAAGTTAATGGAGTCAGTTTTAGCTCATTGTCTGATGGTTGTATTATGTAAATGGCCCGGTGACTGTTTGGTACAGCAGTTACATTGTGCCATATTAAGGCACCAGAATATAACTACCTCACATTTTGAGGTGGAACAGAAAATTAACTGGCACTAAAACATAGCTGCTGCACCGTTAAGGGAAAATGCAGAAAATTCTAAAAGGAAGCTGGCGAGTAAAAAGCCAACCTAAGCCTTATATTAATGCTAACTTTTTACTGTGGAAAAGCGTCAAGACGTACTGATCAATGCAGTTGCTACGCAGAACTCAGCAAGTGGTCCACACAGTTCACTGACTCATCTACCTAACTTCAGATAACTAAGGTTAACATCTCAATTTGTTCATATTATACACATTCATATTGTCACATTTCTCTTTTTGTCTTCTTTAAATCAGTACCTTTCAACTATCCAGCGTAGAAGCTGTAGCGTCAGTAGCTACTTTTAATGTAGACTTTGTCAAACTTGCTGATCTCTGAAAATGAAAACCAGTCCACCTAATGAACAACATCTTTCATGAAAATTTGAGTGAAATCCTTAATAAGAATGTAAAAACATGCGAGTCCTTATTCTCATTCGTAAACAGCGCCACTGGTGTAATGTTCCCCTTACTGTGACAACATCCACTGCACTGAATATGCAGGTGTGAAAAGAGTTGGAGGATCTCCATTCAGGATGCTGTGTAGTCCAGGGCTGTGTAGTCTAATCCCTGTTCAGACCAACTCATAGTGTCCTACTTTAATCATATTTTAATTTGAGAATGACTTCTCCACCACCTTTAGTTAGTAATGAAAGACTGATTTTTGTGTTCAGTGACATTACACATTGTCTTCTTTCAATGATGTCCTTATGTTTGAACCACAGATCCCGTAGAGATCCACAAACACAAGTTAATGTTGTGGTTCAGTCACTTGCCCCAGGAAGAGAAGCAATTTGGGGGTTACTTTTCTCCCGAGACCATGCATGTAGACCCACTCATTCTGGAGAAGAACCCAGGGGAGGGAAGAGGCCTCTCTATTAGTCCCTTCAAGGAAAATATATCAAAGAGCCATTCTCTCACAATTGAACAAATCTTTGACTCAAGTCAGAGTGGAAATCATGGTCGAGGACTTAACGTGCTGCTCTATGGGGCTGTTGGTACTGGGAAAAGTACAGTTGTCCGCAAGCTTGTTTTGGACTGGTGCGCTGGCTTGACACTGTCCCAGTTCAAGTTGATGGTGCCCTTCTCTTGTGAAGATCTCTGTCATTTGTCCAAACCTACATCACTCAGAGACCTTGTGGGTAGAAAGTACATGCACCTTCGCAGGACACCATTTCTCAGTGGAGATAGTAATCAGGCTAGGGAGGTCCTGTTCATCTTCAATGGCATGGAGAAGATGAATTTAGACTTTAGGATTGGCTCCACTGAACTGTGTAGTGATCCTAACGAGGCTCTTTCATCGGGAGCTGTTGTTGTAAACCTGCTGAGGAAGTACCTCCTACCTGAGGTAAGTGTAAGGTTCTGATATTGAAGTTTTCCTTGTACATTTGTATAGCTATGTGCACTACTTCCCACAAAGCAGTCACACTAGACATTTAAAGTTAGCTTCATCATGCAAAATAAGCTTGATCAAACTTTGCACTAGTATTGTCTCTTGTAATATTATTAGCAGATCTTATAATTGAAAATGGGGAAATCAAGCTGTAGTTTTTTTTTGGGGGGAGTGACCCAGTGCCTAGGCCTGCCACAGTAAAATCGCAAAAGTAAAGATAACAACAGTCTCCAGACTTACCATGCATCATGCAGTGTCTCTTTCATTTCATTTCTTTGTTTATTTATAGCAGGTGGTGAACAAATGTTAAAAGGTTTGTTCTTAGACACTAGTTAAATTAGCATTTCATCCATTTTGCATATTCAGTGCTGCTATAAAAGAGGGCTGCTTCTTCTTAGTCACCACAGCCCAAAGCAGTAGCTCTACTGGTTGAAGACACAAGTTTGTGTGTCTAAGTTCGCCGAAGTTGAACTCTGTGTGACGTTATTAAAATTTTTCACATGGTGTGTAATTGCTCATCACAGCAAATCTCATTGAAATGAATGTAATTCAGTATCAGTGTAAGCAAGGAATGGTTTTAACTCAAATTAAATATTTTTCAGGCTAGCATTTTGGTCACCACCAGGCTGTCTGCTGTAGATCGTATCCCTAAGAAGTATGTGAACCGCTATGCTCAAATCTGTGGTTTCGACGATCCTGACCGCCAGAGAGCTTACTTCACAAGCAGACTGTTACTACAAAGTGGAGAGAAGCCAGGCAAGGATGCAGAATCTTTAATAGAGATGCTGTACCTTAATTTGCAGCGAGAGAGCCAGTTAGCAGCAGCCTGCTTTTTACCCTCGTACTGCTGGCTCACCTGTGCCACCCTTCATTTCCTTCATTTTACTGATGCCAAGGCACCTATTCGCACTCTTACTGGTATCTACACAAGCTTCCTGAGGCTCAACTTTGGAGGAGAGGTGCTGGCCTCAGGAGACATGTCTTCGCAGGAGTACCAGACCTCATTAATGCTTTACGTGGTCCGCACCGTAGGGAAACTGGCTTTTGACGGAGTGACCAATAAGCGCACATACTTTACTGAGAATGACCTAGAACAGTGGATAGGCGGAAAGACCAAAACCGATGAAGAGCTTCGGCAGCTGGCGGTGTTCCGCACAGATGTGTTGGATTTCTTCCTTGTGCCTTGTGTTGAACATAGTCGAAAGGTTACCGAGACAGGTGAGAAACGTTATGTCTTTGCTATACCTGCCATGCAGGAGTATCTGGCTGCCCTGTATGTCGTTCTTGGTGAGAACAAGAATGCTCTGGAGAAGGTGACTAAGCAGGTGTCGGAGGTCGTTGGACAAGCCAGCGAGGACATCACTAGCATAATGAGCATTCTATCTAAGCTCATACCTTTGAGGATCTTTGCCATTTTCAACTTATTGAAATTGTTTCCGAAACTTTTCGATCGAGTTAGTAATCTTAGCAAGGGTCGCATCGCCAGCACCATGGCTGCGGAGATGTTCCGCTCAGAAGACAGTTTCAATGAAGACGTTCTAGATCAAGTGGAGCAAAACCTGCTGGGAGTGCAAGGCCCACAGCCAGAGCAGGAAGCTGACACGAGGTCCTTTGAGTTATACCCAATCTTCATGGGAGGGCTCCTTCATTATGGCAACAGAAGGCTGCTGGACCAACTTGGCTGTGACATCAAGAGCACCACTGTGGCCCAGATCACTCGATCGCTGAAGAAGCATTTGATCAAGGAGAGCCGCAAGCAGCAGCCTCCCGCGGAGCTGATGGATCTGCTGGTTCTGCTGTACGAGTTCCAGAACCCTCGGCTCACGGCCGAAGTGCTGCAGTCTGTCAAAGTCATCAACTTGTCCACTGTGCGCATGACCCCACTCAAGTGCTTTGTGCTGAGTTCAGTGCTGGACTGCACACTTTCCAGCTTCCTTCTGGATGAGCTCAACCTCTCCTCTTGCCACATCACTCCAGAACTGCTGCACTTGCTGTGGCCTGCCTTCCATAACACACGTTGCCTCAAGTGAGAATGAATTTTCTGTTTATTAAGCAGAGCAAACTGTTCTTACAAGCTTGGAACATTTGGGTTTATTCAGAAAATGATTTGTCTGCTGTTGTATGTTCTTGACACTAAGGGTGGGCAATATGGCCAAAATACAATATCACAATACTTGAGGACATTTTCACAATACAAGATATGCATTACAAAATTTTTTTTTCTGAGGGTCCATAAGTTAGTCAGGTAAGTTAGTCAGAGTTTCATCATAACCGTTTTACTGGTAAGCCACAAATAAGTGCAGATAATGCAATGAGAAACAGTGCAAACCACACTAACTTTATCCCCTTTGGCTGGGTGGCTAAGCCAGGGATGTTTCAAGACCCTCAATCACCTTCTGCTGTTTAATCTGTTGCATCTGAAGTAGTCCAGTGAGGCCTGGTCGAGGTGCTGCCTAACTCAGTCAGCTTCACCAGATGGTGTTGCCGTCTGCTGGCTCCTGTAAGCTGTGAACCAACTGTTGCTGATAGCGTGATTGTTGTAATATGGAATATGAAGTCAGTGTCTGACGGCTTTAGGCATGAGTATATGGGATATACGTATGAGACAAATGAAGTTTGGCAAAGCTAAAGTTGGCTTCTTATTTGAATTTCCTGTTCTACATTAAATTGTGCAGCAATTGCATTCAAGCATCTGTACAGGTGCCAGAATGTAACTGCTGCTCTATTTAAGGTGGAACAGAATAATCGAACAAAAAGCTGCCCAATAAGAAGCCATCTACTAGTTTGTAGAAATTAAGATGTGTCTCAACATTTAGCACTGTTAGTTTTTTGCCATAAAGCATATTCATAACCTGATATAATATCAAATCATCAGAAATTTTAATTTCAATTTTCATTTCATCGTTAGATAAATTTTTGGCCATACTACCCACTAATAGTTGGAACAGACAGAATGCACCAGCACAGCAGTGCCATATTAAGAAAATACTATCAGAGATTTTTAGATTTTTACAATGACTTTCATTTAACGTTTCACATAATGTGCTGCACTAAATCCAGGTGATCAGAACTAATTATGCTCTCTTTGTAATGAAACATGCCATTGGTCAATGTTTTTTTTAATTATGATATCCACAATATGCTCAGAAAATAGTATTATGGTGTATTGTTACATAATTTACCATGATATGACAACATATTGTCATATTGCCCACCCCCCTTGACATAATTCTTGTCAATTACAGTGTTTTTGAGTTGATTAGATGAGAAGTAGGACATACTTGGTAGTCCTTTACAGTGCATTTCTATTGTACCCCAGCTCATTTTATGAGTAGCCCAAATGGTTTTGCGGATTTGCATAAAGCTCTGTGTGAAAATGCTTTGTTTGTATTAATTTATGGATGTTTTAGCCTAACAATTGTTTGTGGTTGGACAACCTGAGGCCTTTTGAAGTTTATTGTGAACATCTAACTCTGTGTATTGTGTGAGACTGCTAAAGGTAAGTTCTTAGCTGTACATTGTATGACAGTGTACTGCATCTTGTTTAAATGCTGCTACTGCCTGCAGTGTTACTACAACTAATAAACTATTTTTTATCGTTTTAATAAATGGGCTTGGTAAGGGACCTTAGGAAGCAGAATCTAATCAGTGCATACTGCATAAGCAGATTAACCTCATTGGTTTTTAATTTTCTCTCTGAGGAAGTGGAGAAACTAATGGTATGCGTGTGGATTTTTTGATAGCTGTGAATGTATCTGTTTGTACTGTCTTCAGCCTGCAGTTTAACAGCCTGGATCCTGAATCCTGCATATTGCTGCGAGATCTGCTACTTGAACCCAACTGTACAGTTAAAACATTACAGTAAGGTGGATTTTATCTGCAATTTGTTTGTTTTGCAATGTCCTGGTTTAAGGTAAATTGTAAGCCTTGAAACTTTATTTAAATGTAGGTGAATGATTTTCTGTTTGCCTGCTCTAGTGCAATGAATGGAAAGCTCGATTGAAAAAGCAATCCAGTACACATTGTAGAAATGAATAAGCCAGATATCCACTGCTATTTCAGGAATGTAAAATCAAAGTTTAATATTATAGGTTGTATTGTTCGTTGTATTTAAACTTTAATCCAGTTGCTCTGGCTACAGGTTGTGTGACAACTCCTTGCTGGACAGAGGAGCTGCCCATCTGCTGGATGCTCTGCCTGGTAACCAGTCTTTGCAGAAGCTGTCTTTGATGCACACTGGCCTTGGGGACAGTGCTGCCCTAGACTTAGCTGCAAGGCTGAGCCAGCATACTGGACTACAGGAGCTGAACGTGGCTTACAACAACTTTGGCGATAGTGCAGCACTTGCACTGGTCGACGCCTGCCGAGAGCACCCCAGCATTCACACAGTTCAGTGAGTATTACTGTACTCATTATTTTATTCTACAGTTTGAACGTTTGCTGCCGGTCTTTCTGAAGGACCTGGAGTGGGGCCCCAAGCAGAATTTAATAATGTTTGTTTTTTGTGATTATATCACTTTGTAAAGAGCACAGTTAACAAAGCCCTTAAAAGGCAGACGTGATTCGAATAAACTAAATAATCTACAATACAGTATGCACATTGAAATGCTGTCTGTCGTTGGTAAATAGCAAAACAGCTGACATGACACCTTTTCTTTAAGATTTAACCCTGGACCTATGCTATGACTATCTTACCTATCCTTCTTTTGAGATTGAGGCATTTATCAAAAGAACAGCACAATGTTTAATAGTTTTTCATTTTGGCAACCTGTATTTCCATATGTGGACTGTAGGGACTGAGGAGGGAACAGTACCATTTGAAACTTTAACAATGTTTATATAGTACAACAAATTTTTTATTTTAAAAAAGCAATGAAATGTGTTTTTTCCGTATAATGGGCCCTTCAAATTGCAGTCATGTATTGATGTGACCGAGTTGTTTTCCTTTTGCCATTTTTCTAGTCTGTATTTGAACCAGCTGACCGATGTGGGGAAGCAGTCGCTGCACGTCCGTGGAGTTCCTCAGGAGAAAGGTGGGAGACGGGTGAAGGCCCTGGCTTCAGTGACTGAGGGCTCGGACATCTCAGAGGACTGGCACCCCATCCTGAGTGTGATCACGAAGAACTCGCTTTCCTGGGAGAGGGAACGTGTTCGGGAACAGCTGCTGGTCTTTCTGAAGGATCTGGAGTGGGGCCGCAAGCAGCACCCGAGCTTCTGGAAGAAGCTGCACTTCCGCAGAGTGGAGAGTGTAGTGAGGCAGACCCTGCGCATGCTGGAGAAAGGCAGCGCCACAGGCACCAAACCTGCTGCTAAGTGACAAGGGACTGCTTTACTGTACAGAGGTGCTCTTAGGGGAATAATTAACATGCTGTTTACAAATACTGTATAAGAGTGCCATGGTCTTCCTTTGCATTAATAGCCTTTTTTTATTAAAATTAGAGAAAGCATGCATTTCCATCACTATACATTCATATGCAATAAGACTGACGAAAACTGTTGACATGCTTGTAAATGTACAGACAGTACTGTGCAGAGGTCAGAGACTAATCTTTGTTTATTTTATTTCCAGGCACAAGTATTTTTCAGCATTAGGAAAAAGCAGAAAATAACTAAATATAATATTACATTTTTCAGTATTTAGTCTGTCCACCTTTTTGCCTTTATTATAGCTTCCATTCTTTTCAGGAGGCCTGCTTTCAAAGAAATACGCAGGGAAAGTTCAGTCTTAGAAGTTGGTTGCATTTTCTCCTTCTCACGATTCAAGCAATCCCAAACACATTCAGTGGCGTTGAGGTTTGGTGGTGGTCAGTCCATTGTCGTCACAGTGGAAGGAACAACAGAAACACCTGTGGATTTTTCAGATCTGAAGTAAGAGTGGAGCTTGATTTTCTCCTCTCTCTGAAAGATGAAAGCTTTAAGTCCTGTTTATCTGATGGTGACCATTTTGGTGGTCTACTAGGACCTGCACGGTTGTTTAGAATTCCACTTTCTCTGTATCTTCATCATTTTTTTTTTTTTTAATTTATTTTCCTTTCACTTTCCCCTTCCTTACACAAGTGGATTATCTCGTATCTAATCTCTTTGGAAATATCTCCTGAAAAATGAATAACTTGTACATAATGGCTGTTTTGACTGGAAACTGAATAAATGAAGGGGGGTTCTCTGACCTTCATACATTAGTGTGTTCTTTCACAATACGTTACATTTTTCACCATAATGCATGAAGTATTGTTGTTAAAACTATTGTGTGTCAGACTGAAATGTTCAGCCAAGTGCTGTTAAGCAATACTCAACATAAGCTTTCTTATAAGCCATAGGAGTCTACTGACCCATACAAGTGTTTGCTTTGTCTTCAGTGGATGCAGTGTAACTGTTCTAAATTGGCTTATTTAATGAGCTTTAAAAGCCGTCCCTTCGGTGCTAACCTGCAAGATATGTTTTATAAAAGTTTTCAAATTGTGTCAAATCCAGATTTTGTGCCTTTGATCTCAGTTTGCTAAAAGATGGCTCTATTTTAATTATGTGGATGTACAAGTAAATCCAGAAAAATTAAATAAAAGAAGTGACTTCCTCTTTATCTGACTCCTTATTTGATTTGAAGCCTGATTTTTATTTCGATTCAATCCAGTAGTTTTGTAATCAAGGTGTTCCACTTTGGTTCTTCAGATCTTCAGTTAGATGGTATTATGTAATAAAAGCACCTGGGTCTGTTGTCTGGGATATTGCCTCATAAACCTCAGCTTACACATTAAACTCCAGTGCGTTTGTGTGGAGGAGAAAGGAGGAGTCCTGCTGACTGAACAGACCTTGTGTTATGATCTGCACCTTGGACCCTCTCACTGCCTCCTGTCCACTCATCCAGCCAGGACACGGGCAAGCAGCACCATGAGATACACCACAGGTAACCTCATCTACAATGTTTTTTTTCTATTTCACTTATTTTTCTACTAAAAAAATGTTCTAAATCACTATAACAATACTGTGTACTATGTAATGAATTTATGTATTTAATTTCTCATAAATAAGATCTGTGTGAATGCTTCAAAATATGTTTATTATAGGGTTGTGTTGATGTAATTATCTAGCTGCTGTTTGCTCTTATCACATATGAAAGACATCCTTTTCTTAAATGTGATTGAATACATGATGAAAAAGTACCATGCACACCTAAAATGACGGTTCTTCAAGGGTTCTTTCGTAAAGAAAATAGTTCTGTGTAGAACCATGAACACTCAAAGAATCCTTTGCATGATTAAAGGGGTCTTTGCATCATGAAATGGTTCTTTAGATTGATGGACAATGTGCTGTAAATGGATCTATACAGAACCTTTTTCTAAAGGGTTCTTCTATTGTTATAACCTTGACATCATAACAGTAGAAGAACCTTTTTTTTGAGAGTGTGGTTAACCTTCAAAAACCTTCATTGTTAAACGTCTCAAAGAACAAAACAATGTATTTAGACAGTCATTTGTTTCTGTTGTAGACTGTAGACATGTACCTAGTCTCAGATTTCTGCCAGGTCAGCGTCTATCAAACACAGCGAGGAAAAGTCATCACATGTTCATAGGACGACCTGTGATAATAATTGTAGTTGTCAGCTATTAGCTTAGACTGATTAATGCCTGATTGACAGATATACTGAAGGCCTCAGCAAACCAAACCCTGCCCAGACATAAAAACAGAAGACGCACTTTAAAATAGCATGAATTGATAATAACTTATGTAATATGCCTTACGTAAATGCTGAATTGCATTCAGTACTTCATTCTTGTTGTCAAGAATGTCAGTATATTATAAACAGATTACTGTTATGGTGATTCTTACATAAGCTAGAATAAGTTTCCTATTGATGTCTGTTCACTCTAGGCAGTGTCCAAAACATTTGAAAGAAAGTGCTTTTGAGTTAAAGTTAAACTTCAGCCACACCTCTGTGGGCAGCACTGAATGTTAAATAGGAAAGTTACAATGTTGATGAAAATGTGTATGCAATGTTTTGGCAATATTGTGATGTTTTTATGTTTTTTAGGGCCAGGTGATGCAACAGAATTGCCACAGTAAGTGTCTTTAAACAGTTTCATCTCAATTCACAAGCAGGTAAATAAAATGTTAGTATGCTGTAGAGCAAGGGTCGCTATTCTTATCCACAGATGGTCAGTGTAGCTGCAGTTGGTTTCAGACAACTAGTTCGTTTTATGTGGTGAGCTTCTACTTGGTTAGAATGAAAATCTGCAGCCACACTGGCTCTCTGTTTATAAATATGAGTATAAATAATTCTTTTCTGCAGTATTTTTAGTATTATTAGTACATAGTTAGTAAACTGTCACATTTAATTTTGTCACATATTTCGCAATATGTCACTTTTCATTTTGACTTTGTAATGAGCAAATTTATCCATTTCGATGTTCTTAGAAAGTTCACTTTCAACCCAAAAGAAGGGATTGACAATCCAACCTTGGTTATCTCAGATGACACAGGTATATCCATGACTTGAAAAGCAATAAATACACTGTAGTACAGTGCTAAAGTCAGAGACCACCCTTCATTTATTTAATTTCCATTCAAAATGGCAGGTTATTTATTTTGCAATATTTCTGTGGGCATTAGTTGTAGGATAATCCACTTTCATAAGAAAGAGGAAAGGTAAAAAGGAAATAAGTGAAAAAAAACGGAGTTCAAAAACTGATTAAAAGATGGGCCACCATCTTTTTTGATTAGAAGAAAATGGGCCACCAGAACTGTCATCATCAGATAAACAGCACTTAAAGCTTTCATTTTCTGAGAGAGAGGAGAAGATCAAGCTCCACTCTTGCTTTAGATCTGAAACAATCCACTCGTATTTCAGTCCATCCTTCCATCACTGAATGTGTTTGGGATTATTTGAATCATTAGAAGCAGAAAATCCAACCAACTTCTAAGACTGAACTTTGGAGGTGTGGAAAAATATTCCTGCAGTCTCCTTTGAAAAACTGGAAGTAAGTCTACTGAAAAGAATGGAAGCTGTAAGGCAAATAGTGGACACACTAAATACTGAAAAAAATGTATATTTAGTTGCTGAGGCTTTTGTATAATTTTCTGCTAAATATGTTTTCTACCTTTTTCCTGGCACTGAATATGTGAAAAACCTATATTATGGTTCACTATTTAATTGCCATTTTGAAAGGAAATTAAATTAATGAAAGGTGGTCTCTGACTTTAGGAGAGTACTGTATATGTCCAAAAGCACCCAGACACCAAATTAGTGAATTCAGCTACTTTGAGGTGCACTCATTGCTGACACGGGTGTTCTATTGTGCCTGCAAAGCTTGTATAATCTCCATAGAAAAGCACTGCCAATGTAAAGGGATGCTCTGGAGCAGCCACACCTGAGCCTAAGGTAATCATACCCAACACCAAACACCGGCTAGAGGGGTGTCTGCCCCTGTCATTGGGCTGTGGAGCAGTGGAACTGCATTCTCTGAATACTGAATACCTTTGGGATGAGTTGGTGTGGTGTTTCTGATACAGAATTAATCATCCAGCATCAGTACCTGACCTCACTAATGCTCTTGTGGCTGAATGCAATCAAATACTCACAGCAACGTTACAATATCTAGTGTAAAGCCTTCCTGAAAGAGGAGACTGTTAAAGCAGCAATGGGGAACTGACTCCCTATTAATACCATTGATTTCAGAAGAAATATTGTATCAGGAGGTGTCTACAAACTTTTGGACATACAGCTTTCCTGATAAAATGACAGAAACAGAAAAATAAATATTTCTACAAAACATAACGAAGACCAATTTGGATAAACACTGGCTGAATTGTCCTTAGAGCCAGCTCTGTGTCCGCGGTTGTGTCTGCTGAAGCGAGAGGAAGGTGAAGGCTTTGGTTTCTATCTGAGGAAGGAGACAGGCTGCAGGGGCCATGTGGTGCAGCAGGTGGCCCCCTGGAGTGCAGCGGAGCGCAGTGGCCTGAGGGATGGAGACCACGTTCTGGAGGTCAATGAGGACTTTGTGGACAATCAAGAGTATGAAAAGGTACAGACCTACTTCCTAATAGAACCGTGAAGGACAATGACTATTACCTGTATGCTCTCCATGATCTCAAGGTGGCCTACATTTCCTCATCAACACATCCTCCACAGCAAAGTCACTGATGTTAAAGTAACACAGTAATCTCTAACGTAAATGGTATATGTTCACTGCTGTGAATGGACAAAACACAGAATCTGTGCCATTTAACTGAACCATTTGCATTAAATTCTACACTGTAAAAAGTGAGATGGCAAAAGTGTTTTTGAGGTTTGAAATGATGTAAAAATTGCTTTTGTCATAAATTAAAACTAAACTAAAACTAAAAATCTAAACTGAAAATTTGCAACAGTTTAATTGCTTGTTACCACATGAACTAACTTTTCAAGTTGAACTCACAAACCATTCTTTACAAGGAAGATTAGATTAGATTTCAATTAGATAAACTTTATTGTCCACAAGAAAGATATGATTTGCATGCAGACAGTGCCGCTACTATAAAGAGACATAAACAGTACAATGCACATACAAACCATTCCAAAAAAAGTTGGGAGAGGAGTAACTTAAGACTAGGAATGTTGTGAAATGCTCATTAAACATCTGATGCAGGTGATACAATCATGCTTGGGTATAAAAGGAGCATCCAAGAAAGGCCTAATCTTTTATGAACAAGGACGGTCGAGGCTGACCACTTTGCCAAAAAATGCAAACAACAGTGTTCCTGAATGCACGATTACAAGGATTTTAGGTATTTCATCCTCTATGGCCCATAATATCATTGCAAAAATCAGAAAATATTGAGAAATCTCTATTTGTGCATTAAGGGCAATACCAAATACCAAACTGAATGCTTTTGACCTTCGATCCCTCAGACAGCACTGCATTAAAAACCGGCATGTTTCTGTGATGGTTATCACCACATGGGTTTTAGAAAAACTTTCTCAAACTGTTGTCAATAAACACTGTACTGTACTGAACATCTGTCACTGCATCCACAAATGCAAGCTAATATTGTACTGTGCTCAGCAGAAGCCACATGTTGACAACATCCAGAAACGCCACCAACTTCTCTGGGCCTGAGCTAATTTGAAATTGACTGATGCTCAGGGAAAACGTGTATTGAGTCCACCTTTCAGTTTGGTTAGTGAAATAAAGGATGTTGTGTTCTTTGGGCCATCCAGATTGTTACCAGCGTTTAGCTCAAAAGCCGTGGTATGGGGGTGTATTGGTAACTTGCACATCTGCGAAGATATAACTTGTATAACCGAATGGCAAAACTTTATATTATTAGAAACAATAATTCTAAACTTTTGAATGCTAGTGTACATTAAAGTTCTTCTCTTATAAAGTTGCCATTTTGGAGATTTGGAGATTTGGTGATGAAACATGCATAATCTTCCTACATCAACTATCTTGGCTTGGGTTCCTCTCTGCCTGTGTTGTTTGCTGGTGGTGTTGGAGCCTGTCTCTGAGCAGTGGTTTGTTTGGTAGGTGGTGCTAAAGGTGCAGGCATCTGGGCTGCAGTTGTGTCTGCTGGTGCTGAGGGCTGAGGACTACGAGCTGGCTGTGTTGGAGGGAATGGACCTCATGGCTCTGACCAGAGCTCACAGAGGAGAAGGCTGCGCTCGCCCACGTTTGTGCCACATCAGCAGAGAGCCAGGCTTTGGCCTAGGACTCAGCATCATACCTATTGAAGGTAACTCCTTTTCACAGTACATGCGTTAAGAGCAACAGGAAGAATGAATAATGATCAATCAGAAGTGGGCAGAGTAGACTAAACCAGTGCTGGTAAAAGTATTGCTACCTCAATTACATAATAGAAGATAAAGTAGTCTGGCAAAAAGCAAAGCAGTGATGTGAGTATTTGAGAAGTATCATAATAAAAACACAAGTACTGAGTTCCCTCTAGAGCTGCGGTGGAGTTTCTTAGTGCCTCTACAATGCATCAGCATAGGAACTTCGGTGCTACTCTTCCAAAGCTGAAAATTGAGAGGTCGGAGCAACAGCAAAACAGTCCAAGTGCTGAACCAAGAGGAATAAAATTAAGCAGTAACTAAACATTAATGGCTAAAAAGTCATTTTACTCAAAGATATTCTTGAGCAGAAGTAAAAATATATCATTTAAAAAGACTCTGAGAAGCACAAATCCCAAAAGGTACTGAGTAAATGAAACTAAATACGACCCACCTGTGATAATGATGGAAATGAAAAGTGAAAGAAGGAAAAGTGTTAAAGACAAAGTCCACATATCATTGCTGTCCAGAGAAAAGACAAAAAACATTCTTTAAGTTGCATTTAGGGGGATTTGGTTTTGTACGCTATTGAATATAGCGCTATTGAATATAGCGTACAAAACCATGTTTTCATTAGCGTATAATCACCTGTAACTAGGAATTGTAGTATTTTCGTTAACTTAGAATGAGCCCTTCATATCTACATAGGGAGCAGGTCCTCTTCAGAGGCCGCCATGTTTCTACAGTAGCCCAGATCGGACGAACCAAACGCTGGCTCTACTGAGTGCCTTTCATGTTTTCACACTGAAGTGACAGCTCAAATTAGGTGACCCTACAGCACCAGTTGGAAATCGCAGAAAGAAGAAGATTCAGTGGTTGCTGCCGGTGCTGGCTAACCATTCTGTGTTGTGAGAAATTCAAGAACCCAAATTTTGACAAATGGAGGACGATACTTATCATTTAGCGCAAGACAAAGCAAGAGAGGGTGAATTGTCGTTGTCAAAGAAGCGAAAACATGAAGAAGCAACATGAAATCGGGACAGGCGATGGCAGAAAACCTGATAGTCACCATAGGTACTACTACACGCTTGGAAAGGGAGGGGTGAGGGAGAGGAATTCAGCTGGTTGCAATCTGCAACCTCACCACTAGATTACACTAAATCTTACACACTGCACCTTTAACTTTTGATGTAAGCTAATGTCAAGAAGTTTTATTCCAAGTGATTCTGGAGCTTTCCTATTGGCCCATTCGTCAAGACATTTTCACACAATTTAAAGGACAACTGCTGTGTTCAAATGATATGATATAAAAAACAAAAATGGAGATACATTGACGGTATGTATATGTATGCAGATAATGAGTATTTAGAGTCTTTTTGCTTCGTATATGTGTGTGCAGGTGAGAGAGGGAAGTATTATCTGAATCCTGTGAGTGAAGGTCCAGCGGAGAAAGCAGGCGTTCAGCCAGGAGATCATCTGCTCTGGGTCAACGGGGCCATGGTCTCCACACTCACACATTCAGCGCTGGCTAAAATGGTTGGTTGGCATTGTAGGTGAGTAACACTTTTCCCTGATGATTCTTTTTATGTCTAACCTTCTCTCTGCTTGTGCTTTTTGCTCTCAGGTTAAGAGGAGTAGTGAATTCATGACCATCATGGTCATAGACAGCAGAAGTGAAGAGAGCTATGCCCGCCGAAGGCTCCCCATTCTCCCTGCGTTTGCCAGTGTTCATAACCTCCCTCACAGGCCAAAAACCTTGCATGTCGCTCAGGGACCACAGGGCTACGGCTTTCTGTTAAGGCAGGAGAAGCTGCCTTCAGGACGAATAGGTGAGACAACTGTAGTTCTAGTATACTATGGTGGCAATAAGGGTTCTCTAAAGCATTGCATAGAAGAACCAATTTTAGTTCCCTAAAGAACTTCACAACATATGGCTCCTGCAAAAAAACATTTTTGTAAATGGCACGTGAGTGTGAAGCAAAAGAGCCCTAAAAGACCACAAACTTACTTTATTTATTTCTTCTTAATGTACTGTATACACTTATAAAAGATGGTTCTTCAAGGAATATTTAGTAAAGAAAATCATTCTACAAAGAACCATAAACACTCGAAGAACCCTTTGCATGATAAAAGGGTTCTTTGCATCATGAAAGGGTACTTCAGATTGATGGAGAACGTGCTGTAGATGGTTCTCTATAGAACCTTATTGAAAAGGGCTCTAAATAGCACCCAAAAGGGTTCTTCTATTACAAGCTTGACATAGCAACAATAGAAGAACTATTTTTGGTGCTGCTGTGAACCCTTTTCAAAAGAGTTCTATACAGAACCACCTATAACACATTCTTAAGAACGCTTTCATGATGCAAAGAACCCTTTAATCATACATAGGGTTCTTTGAGTATTCATGGTTCTTTATAGAACCATTTTCTTTACTAAAGAACCCTTGAAGAACCATCTTTTTTTAAGAGTGTTAGAATTTACAATACATTTTGGAATGAAAGCATGTATTTGAAATGTATCTCACATAGAAAATGCAAGCAATTGTATTACTTTTACGTACAGATTTCCCAAGATCTCAAACTAATTATGCCAAATTATACCATTATTTTGGGAAACCCACGTATCTCACATAATGATGATGACTTAAATAACTTAAGATATTGAAAACACACAATTATATTAAATCATGAGAAAAAGAAGCAGAAAAATATATGCAGATCTGTGGACTTTCAGAGCTTGAGCAATGAAGAATCATCAGGCCAAGAGTGATTAGAAACTTATTTAAAGTCAACTTGATATAAAAATTGACCTTTTTTATGTTGTTTTCTCATTTTTCTGGTAATATTAAACACATATCGAAGTCCAAGTCAGTTGTATTGCTGTTTCTTCTCATCAGAGACGTGTTAAGAGACAATAAATACAAAAAATACAGACAAACTATACAAACACAATACAGTAAACTCTTCTGTGTAATATACAATAACTATACAACCAAAGCCCAGCTGTTGGTCCACAGCAGCAACTATAGTTGTGCGTGTTTTTTTATCAGTGCACTGATAATCAGCAATAGCCTGTAGTAATATAACCACAAAGATGACGGTGTATAGATATAAGTGACTGGGCACATAACGTGAGGGAGGTTAAAGTGGATGAATGCAGGAGATAAAGCACAACAGATGAAAGTGAGTTGAATGGCTGACGTAGCAGTTCAATGAGAATGTTTAAAGATCCATCAGGTACATCCATTCAGCAGTCTGTCTGCCTGCGGGAAGAAACTGTTCATGAGTCTGGAGGACTTGGCCCGGATGATCTGTAGCCTTCTTCCAGATGGGAGTGGTGTAAACAGTCTGGGTGATGGACGAGAGGGATCCCTCCTAATGCTGCACTCTGTTCTTTTATACTGTTCGGTGTAGATATCCTTAATGGCAGGCAAGTTTGACCCAGTGATGAACTGGGCAGTCTTGACTACCCACTGAAGTGCTTTCCTGTCTGAGACAGTGATGGTGCAGGTCAGGATGCTCTCAGTGATGCTTCTGTAGAAGCAGTCAGGGATGGGTGTGTGCAGGCCAGCCCTCTTCAGTCTCCTTAGGATGCAGAGGTGCTGTTGTGTTTTTGTCAGGAGGAGGTGTTCAGGGATCAGGAGATATTGTTAGTAACGTGCACTTCAAGGAACATGAAGCTGTGCACTGTCTATCATCAGCTCTTTCATCTTGGTCACATTCAGAGAGAGACTGTTGTTCTTGCACCACAATTCAGCTGTCTCGTTATCGAAGATGATCCCCATGATTGTAGTGTCATCAGCGAACCTGATGATGTGATTGCTGTGATGTTTGGCGATGCAGTCGTAGGTCAGCATGGTGTACTGTAATTTTTGTAATCTAATGACTTCTATTATTCTCTAACGTTTTCTGAATTTTGATTACATCACCATGCAACAGAAGGTGATATTAACCAATAAGTTCATGTCTCACCTCCCAACATGAACTCCCACCCCCCCACACCATAGCAACTGCTTAGCAATCACTACGGACACCATAGCAACCACCCAGCAATCACTTAGCAACAACTATGGACCCCATAGCAACCTCCTAGAAACCACTACAGACACCACAGTAAGCACTTAGCAACTAGCTAGGACACCATAGCAAGTGGCAAGCAACTGCTTAGCAACCAGTATGGACACCATAGCAACCGCTATGGACACAAAAGCAACCACTTAGCAACCACTAAGGACACAATAGCAACCGCCTAGAAACCACCACAGACACCATAGCACCCACCTAGCATTTGCTTAGCAACCACTACAGACACCATAGCAACCACCTAAAAAACCACTACAGACAGCATAGCAACCGCCTAGTAATTGCTTTGCAACCACTTAGCAACCACTACAGACACTAAAGCAACCGCCTAGCAACCGCTTAGCAACAACTACAGACACCAAAGCAACCGCCTAGCAACCGCTAAACCACCACTACAGACACCATAGCAACCGTCTAGCAACCGCTTAGCAACCACTACGGTCATGACAGCAACAGCCTAACTTCCGCTTAGTAACCACCATGGACACCATAGCAACCGCTTAGCAACGACTACGGAAACCATAGCACCTCTTTGTTTCACTCAGAAACCCGTCACAGTACAGAAGGAAACTTTTATGATTTCTCTTGACAAATGATTGTCATGGTTGTCTAATTTAACCGTATAGTGAGAGACATTTGCCTGTTGTAACAGGGCTGAATGCCTAAATGATGAGACATGGAGCAAATGTTACAGACAGAGACTGACACCATGTTATTGCTATTGTCTGAATCGCCACCTTGACACTGATGCATCCACGGATGGACTGTTTCTTTATTTTTTTTTTTTACACGCCTGCAGGAGTGTATTGATACTAATAGGTGTGGCTTTCCAGTAATTTGAGTCAGTATGATGTCAGAATCAAAGCCCAAACATGTGTAAGTAATCACGTGATAACAGTACTGAAGATTCACTGTATTGGCCTGTGTGGTTTCTCTGTCAGTTTTAGTGTTATATTAGAGGTTGTGATGAAGTGCGTTGTGTTGTGTAGCTCACCTACTGCGGGAGGTGGACCCCCACAGCCCAGCTGAGCTGGCAGGAATGGAGGATGGGGATCTGCTGCTGGCAGTCAATGGAGAGCAGGTGGAGAACTCGGAGCATGAAGACATCGTCAGCAGAATACGGCAAAGTGGTCAGCAGGTCACATTGACCACCATCTCCATCCAGGGCAGAGACTACTACACACAGGTGTGCTGTCACAGATACACTCTCACACGCTTGTTTTTATACAGTGTTTGGGGGCAAACATTCTGACGATCATGTCTGTATGCTTATACATATAAGGCGTTGTACTTCCAACTGCTATACTAGGAATTGTGCTTCAGTGTCATTAATATTCAGTTCTTTACCTGGTAACTGCTGAAGCAACATCTGTACATACTACCCAGTGAACTAACCTACAGTATAAAGAATATCTGTTCTATAATTTTGTAGCCTGGATGTGGCTGCATTGTAATATGCTTCAATTAATTACAGTATCACCTTATCTGTGTCCTCCACAGCTTGGTTTCTCACCACTGTTGTTTTATGAGCCAACCATTTCCAGAAGAGAGCATTTTCCCGAGCTCACTCTGCCACGCAAAGACATGCATGTTAATCTGCCGTGTCCTCGACTGTGTGTCCTTCACAAGGAGGGCACGGGATTTGGCTTCAACTTGGCTTGTGTCCAGAACAAGACTGGGACCTACATCGGCCAGGTGTGTGTCTCTTCTTCAGCACTTGATAAGCAGTGTACTGTACTGCGTGAACTAGAACATTTAGCTATAAATGACATCATTTCCAATGCCGTTTGATTTGTAAAGTCAATTACTGCTGCTGTCCACCTGCCGGAAGAGATTGAGACGTCCTGCTTGTGTCCGGTAGGTGGCAGCTGGGCGTGCTGGAGAGAGAGCAGGCCTGCGGGAGGGGGACGTGATCGTGGAGGTGAACGGGCAGAATGTGGAGGAGGAGCACTTTGAAGAGGTGCTGAGGCTGATTAAGAAAGGATGCACTCCTCTCAGGCTGCTGGTTGTGGAGAGAGCAGGCTATGAAACACTGAGAAAGAGCGGCCTGACAGTCAACCTAGCCCTAATCTCACACAGCATACAGGTGAGAAAACACACACCCACATTATAAAATCTGGAAAACTGGAAAATAAAAAAACAACAGAAGTTTTAGAATTAAAAAAAAATGAAAACAAAGAAAATTTATGAATAAATTTGTAAGTAATGTTAAGAGGAAATATTTAAGATTCTACACTATTTCTAGGTCACTATTCAAATGTAAGCAGATTTGTGATACATATATACACACACACACACACACACAGAGGCTTAACTAAGTACACCTCCTTGTTTCTACACTCACACTTGTCCATTTTATCAGCTCCACTTACCACATAGGTGCACTTTGTAGTTCTACATTTACAGAGTGTAGCTCATCTGTTTCTATGCTTACTTAGTTAACCCTCTTTCACCCTGTTATTCAATTTCTTTGTAGTATAATAATAAGAATAATAAGAATATAAACAACTTTATTAAGTTTATTCTACTAATATTTTTATTTGGATAGCACCGCATTTGATTTACTTTAACACTTTGTATAGTACATTTAGCAGTTTTTTTTAAACAGAGGTCAGACCAAAATGCAAAGGAAATAAAAAAAAAGTGACAAATAATGACTTACAACTCGTTATTTCAAGAAACAGGCTTCCACAGGCTTAAGAGATGTTGATACAAGAAATGATTTGCTTACAGGTTCCAGATTCAACACATGACTATTTTCTGTAAAACATGATAATCTGGATCAGATGAACTGTATCAGTGATTCCTCTGATCATTGCTAAAGGACTACGAGGGAAACTGAAGAGCCACCATCCTGCTGAATGCACTGAATATCTTATCTGCCGCCATGTCAATGAACTAAAAGGTATAAAGGTTATGCCATAAATCTAAAATGCAATGAAGAGATTTATGTGGTTAATTATAAATGAAGCATTGTGCTTGTTGTGCATGCCTCAAGCATGCCTCAGGTAATGTTTAATGCTGTATATAAAAATTATTTCCATATAATCATTAGATTTTAGAAGTAAAAACTGTATAAAATGTCTGTGTAAACTTGTACATATCAAATTGCACTTTATTTCCACATGCACATTCCAAATGTATGTACTCAAATGTAATTTCTTGAGTTGAGTTTTTATTAAAAAATAATTTTAGTTTGTATTTGGTAAGCATTCTTTTTTTACTACACATCTTTCAAGTTCTTATTTTCCACATTTTTCTTAGCCCCGTGCTTGTTATATCAAATTATAAGCGTATTTCTTCCATCAACTCCATATGTATCACATTCCAAATGAGCATATTCAAACAATTTCATACTGTAGTGTTAAGTTAAACCAAAGTGCTTTCTGCAAAGGTGGCTTCATTTATCTCATTCCCTTTCTCTCTCCATGTATCAGGTTGTATTTGTTAGTCATTTTTACCTTCAGAGTTTTGCAACTAATCATTGGCTGTTTTGGCCAATTTTATTGAATTAATTCTGATTCTAGATTAAGACTGAGGTGTTTATAGACACACTCTACTCAACAAGAGTAGAGCAGATGAGCAGCAGTGTGTTCCTTGAGTTTTCAGGTGGCGCGCTTGTGTTTTTAATTGCCTTCAAAATTAAGGCAGACTCAGGATAACGTACTTCATATGAACTTATTCAAGAAGGTGCAAGAGGAAGACATCATGTCCTGCAACATGCTGAGACATAGTTTGTGTAAACCCACTGTCATTCATTTGCTCACATACTTGTCTGAACAACTCGTTATTGCAAGCTTTACAGCCATCCATCCAGCTATTAACTAAAATCTTAAAAATTAAGTCTGTTAAAGTTAGAAGCATAAAGTTTCTGTCTTTCACCATGCTGAACGTTATAAACTTCCGTTATGGCACAATGTCATTGGGTACAGGCATTTACATGGCTATTATTCTTCTATTAAATGGATTATTTCCAGAATTACTGACCTCTTTCAGTTGATAGAAACTGTATTTGGAATAGCCTCAATCGGACTAGTCTACTCCAACAGAGATGAAAAATGTACGTATTCTATTACAATTTCGCTATCAGTCGGATTATTAACATATTAGCATGGCTGTTGTTTCTGTTGTTCCTGGTTGGAGGCATCTTCAAATTCTGTAAAAATACAAAAGTAAGGTAATTACTTTCATAAACCTTTATTGTATGCCATTATATTTTTCTACATTATTAAGTACTTAGGTTAGTATCAGTCCCAGGTTTCTGACCTCTGAGAACGTGGCTGATTTCTGCAGTGACCCTTTCAGCATCCTCCATGCTGAAGCACATGGGGGGTTTGAATTTGATGACATTGTCCCATGGTCCATCAGTGCTCAAACATATGTGCTTCTCTTTCAGCCTGATGAAGCAGAGGGACAACAACGTCTTTAAGATCAGTGTAAATCCTGAGTAAGCATGAATAAACACCCACCTTGGCTCAGCATTCTTGGTATGTCTCACCTTCTAATGAGCAGTGCTGCCTCCTCAGTTGCAGGTTTTAAAGTCACTCTGTCTTTAACCAGTTCAAACCCCACAAAGAGCCCGACACCACTGCAGAGAAGACAGAGCCGAACATTCAGGAATAAAGCATAAATTATACCAGATAATGTCAAAGTGCTTTAAGATGAGATTTGAGGAGGTGAATATTTATGGATTATGACTGAACAATGTGACCAGGCATTTTGTATTTATCAGGTCTTACATTTCAGGTATTTATTTATTTACTTATTTAGTTATTTATTAAACTTATTCTCCACCAAGCAGAACGTGCACTTTGAGCACTGATGCGCACATGCAGTATTTGTGTTATTCTGACCATATCAGACCAGTTCTGTATAAGACGATAACATTTTATTGTAGTGATAAATTGTCACAATGTGCTTTTCTGAGCATATCGTGTATATCGTCAGTACTTAAACAACACTGACCAGCTGTATGTTTAAATAATAAGAGAGCATAATTAATGTAATTAATTTAAATACACAGTTTTTGATATTTGTTTAAACATGGCACTATTAGTGCATTCTGTCTATTCTAATTTATCACAACGCACAATACCTATCACAAAACTGGATACTGTGATATGTATTGTGTATTGTAAAAATTGTTGAGGTCTGGACTCTGTGGTGGTCAGTCTATTGTTCAGAGAAGACCAGCAGCTTCTTTGTTTGATTTGCAAATTTTCTTCTTTTTTTGTCTATTTTCTTTTCTAAAGTTTCATGACAGCTACATATCCTTTCAGACTCATAGTGGTCAGTCGTCTTCTCACAGTAGAAAGATGAATAGATACATGTGAATTTTTTTAAGGAAGAGTGCAGCTTGATCTTCTCTTCTCTCTCAGTTTAGGTGGTCTACCAGGTCTTGCATTATTGTTAGGGGATCCATTTTCTTTATTATATTTCTTTATTATCTTTTAATCATTTTCTGAACTCCAGTTTTGGAAACTTCTGTTTTTTTCACTTATTTTTTGACTTTCCCCTTTATTATGCAAGTAGACTATCTTGTATCTAATCGCCTCAGAAGTATCTCCTGAAAAATGAATAACTTGTACTTCATGGCCATTTTGGCTGGAAATTTAATAAACAAAAGGTAGTTGATATTGACCACCCCTATTTGAAAATCTAGCCCATCACATTCCCCTATTTCTGACAGGACTGTAAGTGGGTAAAACAGTCTGTTACGCTAAACAGCTAAGCTTAAGTTGGCGTTTTTAAATAATGGAGGAAAAAATTGTAGCCCATTTTGTGATCTTGAGCAAAGAGCTTTCATATCCTGGCAAAGTTTTCACACCTGCTAGGCTTTGTTAAGGGCTTTCTATTTCTTACCGTATGTCTCCAATGATTGGGTGTTTGGCCTGGAGCTGTTTGAGGAGCTCCTTCAGGTGATTGCCAACACGAACAGCATTCCCTCTCAGGTCTTCCTTTTCTATCACATCTAGGACTGCCAGGCCAATCGCACATGACACAGGGTTCCCACCAAACTACAGTAAAAACAGATTCAAACCTATACCTTACAATGCAAATTACTCATGAGAAAAGGTACTCTCTGATGAAAATGCCCCTGGGCAATTTTTTTTAAATGAAATGAAACAATAGCTCACAGTGTTGAAGTACTCTACTCCATTGGCAGTGAAGGCTCCAGCTATCTCCTCTGTGGTGACCACACATGCCAGAGGATGTCCGTTACCCATGGGCTTGCCCATTGTCACAATGTCCGGGCAGAAATCTTCACCCTGGAGCTGAAAGGCCCAGAAGTGGCTTCCCACACGACCAAAGCCGGTCTGAATTTCATCAGCTACAAACACTCCCCCTGCAGCTTGAACATACCTGCAGGAAACACATTTTTTGGCTCTCACTCAATCGAGTACTAATAACCAAATTCACTGTATATAGATTAACATGTAAAACAGCTCAGTCCCTTTCCAGGTACAGTCAAGTGAATCAGAGCACAAACAGAGCAAATACTACATATAAGCAGGAATTAGAATTTGAACCATTTTGTTATATGCATTTTTAAACGAATAGAACCAGAATATCATAATGAGAAAACATTTAAATTATGAAACGTTTAACATTGTGCACAGCTAATAGTAGCGGTAGCAGCAATGACTCACTCAATTGATTTAGTGATGTATCTGTTTTAATACTACTTGTCCTACAAAATGATCTCCGAACTGCACAAATATGTATTGTACGTTTTGTGTGAAACATAGGGCATTGCTTAAATGTCGCTGTTTTGCTTAAATGGATACTCCAGCAAAAAAAATGAAAATTTGTTAGCAAGGTTGCTACCTGGCTATCTCACATTTAGTTTGGCTTCTTTCATTAACTAAAACTAAACTAAAAGTTCATCTAAATGGAAAAACACATGAATGAACAAATGAATAAAATAATAAATCCTGTTAAACCAATAATGCTGTGGAATATATGATGCTGCACTACAGAATACTGAATAACAATGTAATAACATGAGATGCAAAATCAGCTGCTTGTGTTGTGATATTCTCTGTGGTTCTACATCACATACCAAGTCAAAAACAAACCACAAGATAATAAGCAAAATGTATTCCAAACTATACATACCTTCTTTGTACACCTGATAAAGTAAATACATTAGATGAGTTAGCTTGAACTACCAGATCCATCCCTAATTAAGAATTTATACAAAATTAATCAGTCTGAGGTTGCCCCATGGCTTTTTGTCAAGTCTAATTCTTTTAACATACCCTGCATTTTAATCTCTTTGTTTTATTTTTTTTTTATTTAGTTTTGTGTTTTAAGTACTATTGTTCCTTTTAATAATCCATCTTACTTCAGTACCTTTGTTATTATGTTTCTGTTTTCTATTTGGTATTTCTCTGTTATTGTGTGTTTATTTTTAAGTTCTTTTCTTTTAATCTTGCTTTAACTTGTACTTCTTACTCCTTTATTAATGTATACTTGTACTGCTACTCCTTCTCCCTTGACTGGAAAGCACTTTGTGTCAAACTCCTATTGTTTTGAATGTGCTACACAATTAAAGGTGACTTAACATAAAAGAATGCATGTTAATAGAAAGACCTACTCTGCAACTTTTGCAAAGTAACCAGGTGGCAAGATGATCTGCCCACCAACGCTGGGTAGGGACTCCACAAAGAAAGATGAAATCTAAGAAAAAAAGAGGGTAAATATTAAAAGGGTGGAATATATGCAACGTCAGACAAATCATCTCTCCCATTTCTTTAAAGTCTCACATAATCCATTTCATGCCAACACAGAAAGCGTACCTTGCGCCCTTTCCTGTGCACTTCATCAATAAGATCCTTCACAGTGTCCGCGTAGGCCTGGCCTGGATTAGGGTGGTCCCGCCTGTAAATGCCTCTGTATGTATCAGGGAGTGGAGCCTGCATGAACACAAAACAGTGCATATTTGTGGATAAGAGTAATTCTGAGATGCTGAAAATGTCTGTATAGTTTCAGGTTCCTTACACACCACGTGAACCCACTCTTTTTGGCCCTCCAACTTCCGGAACTTGTAAGGACTTATGTCGATAAGACTGGTAAGATGCCCATGATACGCACTTGAGAAGAGGAGAAGGGCAACACTGACTTAATCATACAAACGCTGTAGGTAAATATGAGAAGATCATATTTCAAGAGTTGCAGGCCTTACTGGTCTAGAACTATAACATCCTCATTTCGAGTATACTGACGGGCCAGTCGCAAGGCAAGATCGTTGGCTTCAGATCTACAGCAGGAGAAATGTGCACGAGACACCCTCTTGATGATTCAAACCTGTACATGCAATATAAAAACAGATTACAATGTTTTAAACTGAACAGGACTACTTACCCTGAGTTGACAAAGTAAAAGGTACAGAGCTTCTTGGGCAGTGTGGCTGCAAGCCTGTCAGCATACTGCACTATATTATCATGGAGAAATCTGGTGTTTGCATTAAGAAGCTCCATCTGAGCAGCAGCAGCCTGAGTGACAGCAGGATGGCAGTGTCCCACTGCAACATACAGGATAACAGTGGTAAGAGTCCTACTTCATAACAACACAGCTGCAGCAGAAAACAACGGGAAGTGGCATTACATTGACCTACCGTGCTGAACGTTGCTAATGCAGTCTAAATACTGTGTCCCATTCTCGTCATACAAATACTGGCCTCGAGCTCTGACTATTTTCACCGGGTCGTGCGGAAAAAAGAGCCTGCATGAGTGCCTACAACAACACGAAAACAGGGGTTCAGATAAACAACCACACAACACAGTGAAATCAGCGGGAAAGGACTTACCCAATCAGCCTCTTTCGCTTTTTCAAAGTGTGCTCCTTGTGAAACATTTCCAGAGACATTGCGGCGACTTCTTTAGGTTTCTGGTTTGACTGGTTAGTGGTTACTTACTAACTCACTTTTATACTCCACCAACTACAGCTCCTACCCGGTTAGTGATATCTGACTCGCAAACGAGTCGATTCGTTTGAACTGGTGTTCTAACAGTTCGTCCTACCGAGCATGCGCACATCATTGCTATGGCGTAGAGTAACCGTCGGGCACATGCTGCCTTCAAGTCGGAAATATCGTCTTTACGAGATGGATGCACATAAACGGCACCATCGTACTTACTCATAATCTCGTATTTACTAGTAGGAAACTCGAATATTTCAGTGAGCCCCGAGTTTCCGAGTTGGGGGCGTGTCAACAAAAAAACCAATGATAGCTGCTGATAAACTGGCCGTATTTCAGTTATTCATCAGCCACAACATTAACACTGTAGGCTGAAGCCATCCACACATGGAAATACAGATATAATGTATATAAAATAAATAAATAAATAAAAGTAAACCAAAAAACGTTATTTCTACTCATTTCCAACCCCCTCCGAAGTCGTAAGTAGGAACTTCCGAGGAGGACCTGAAGGCAGCTTTGGACCCCATGTGTCAAACACAAGACCCGGGGGCCAGATCAGGCCCGTAGCATAATCCTATCTGGCCCGCGAAATTATTTTAATTTTCTATTAAAATGAGCCTGTTTCACAACGCGCTGCACTACAATCCCCAGCATGCACTGCAGCATAATGTGCGTAGTGTAATGTAGCCTATTTTAATGTGCATAATGTTGTGTACTGTAGCCTATTTATTTTTTTTTATTTTCATTATGTATTCATTATGTAATATTTCAAGTTTCACTACAACTGCCTTTATTTTGATGTTGGTGTTTTAGTGTATTTTGAGTGAACAATGAGCAGCTCAGGTTATAACAAAATGTTATTTAACAGTCACATAAAAACGCAGACGTTCTCTGGCCCACAGATTTGTAGATGTCTCTTAATATGGCACTTGGCACTGAATGTAATGTTTGTATAAATGCTGCCTGTTGAGTTCCCACCGTTCAAGTGTCTTTTGAAGGCAGCTGCCTTACATATTTCAAAATCCTCTGTGTCCACACAGATGTGGTTAGGAAAAAATGCAGAAAACACCAGCACTGACACAGTGGACAATGCTGCCTTCTAAGGCTTTGACTTTTATGCTGGTCTAAGCTGGTATGTGCTGGTTTATGCTTGTCTAGTGCTAGACTGGTGCTGGTTTAGCTGGTCATCCAGTATGGTTATGCTGGTTGACCAACATAACAGCATCCAATACACAACATAAGCTGGTTTAGCCAGTGACCAGTCATCTATGCTGTTTTTTTCTATCAGGGTATTGTAAAATCCCATGTTTGTCAAGCATCACTATATAATTTAATGCACAAGAAATGTGCAGAAAGTTTTTTTACATTGTGCAAATGGATTTTTCTGTCACTTTTCATAATGTCAGTCGCTCAGGTGACCAATGGTAATAGTATATGTATGTAATTGGAATAAAGTCCATTTGACAGATCATTGTGCCCCCTTTTTTCCACAAGGGATTCATCTATTTATAGAGCACCTGGTAAATGAGTAATAAGCTACGCTCTCCACTGTAAGGACAGAGCAAAGGTATTCAATCAGAATTTCTCAGTTAAACATCTGTTTTAACCCACAAGTTAAGTCTGTCCAAGAAGATAAGAAGTCAGGAACGTTTTATTGGACAGTTCTGGCTAACAGGCTAACTGAGAACTCCCGTTTTGTGAGAAATCAGAACATGTCTCGAATCCCTGAATCGTTCAATCAGACGTTCGATTATCTGAATCGGACATTTCTGAAGATCCGGTTCGTTGAACTGAATCGCTGCGTTGTGTGGCTGCGCTGCGCCGGTAGTCTGGTCCTCCGGTGATGACGCTTCACGCATATGTGTTTATGCAGGAAATGCAGTAGTGCAGAGTAGATTAACACTATCGTCTCTAATATAAAGAGCAACGAAACACACTGCCAGCGGAAAACGGGTATGGCTCTTTGTGTTTATTTTCTGTATTATATCCTCCTCTCTGCTATAAGGCGCCCTGTCTGTCAGTCTGCGCTCACTGACGCCGCCGCCGCTGCTCTCCGCAGGCTGCTACGCTAACGTCAGTTAGCCACAGAGCTAGTTAGCAAGCTAGCTAGCTAGCAGGAAAGACAGTTATTTACTTTGCAAAAAAGCTAGTTAGCCAACTAGCTAGTTGTCCTGGACGGCTTTACTTGGCAGCTAGACTGTCACCCCAGTATCTGTCATGACAGTTAGCAGTAACTGCAGTGCTGTGTAATGTCGTGTTGGTGCCTGCTGTGCGCTGTTCACTGTAACAGAGAGCGAAACTAACTCAGACAAACAGATGAAGCCATATGGCTGAATACAGTTCGTTGTTTGGGGTCAGCACTCTCCAAACTCAGTTAGTTGTCAGTTGTCAACTTCACTAACTTTAGTTAGTTAACAAAGTTAGTAGTGTGTGGTTGAGAGTGGTAGAAATCTAATGTTAAAGTTAGAGGTCAGTTCTAAGTGTACAGGTACCCAGAGTTTCGAAAGCTGGAGTTAGAAGGATGCTCTGGCCTAAAGAAAATGTAACCGTCTGTTTACAGCATCGGTTGTAAACATGCTTGTTGTGAGCACCTCTCCTAATGCAGTAGTACCACGGTAGTCTCTAGAGTAGGGGTGGGCAATATGGCAAAATATGATATCACGATACTTCAAGACATTTTCATGATACATGATATGCGTCATGATATTTAGTTTTTCTGAGATTTAATCATTGGAACAGACAAAATAGAACCATTAGTACCACATATAAAAAATAATTATAATAATAACAATAAACATACAACTACAGAGGTTTTATTCAGTGTTTTACAAACGGTGCTGCACTAAATCCAATTGAACAGGACTAATTATGCTCACTTTGTAATGAAACACATAGAAGTACTGAGAATATCCACAATATGCTCAGAAAAGCTTATTGTGACATGATTTATCACAAAAGTGATAAAATATTGTCATGTTGCCCACCCTATACTCTAGAGTGAGGTTTTCCAGTTGAAAGGCTACCTTCTGATGACATCATGAAGGTGGGAAGAGCTGTTGAAAAACAGATAGAAATAGAAATGTAGAAATGTTTTTTTGTGTGTTTGTTTGTTTTTAGCTAATGTTGCTGCTAGGAACCCAAGTATCTTATTGCAGCCATATGACTGTCTTCAATTCATTATAACAATGAATGGAATACTCAAATGACAGAAACTAATTTTGTGCTAAATAAGATACAAGAAATGGATACGATTGTGTTTGATGATAGAGGTAAGAGTTACACGATTGCTAGCTTGGTTGTATTTATTAACCCATTGATCAGTAACTAGACTAGCAGTCGAATTGGTTGACACCACAGGGATTGAAAATGGCTGTTTGATCCCATTTGTGTAATGTCTTCTGGGTATTCTAGTGAGAGAATATTGCTGAACGATATATCACAATATACAAACCAATAAGGCTGAGAGATGTAACCCTGCTCTACAGAATACTGCAATAACACAACAAGTAACATATTAAACTCTAGGATTTAGGTTGAAATGCTGCTTTAACTGTCCACCTTGAATATGAACTTAGTCAGTTTTCTTGTGTATGTATACACTATATGTTATAGCCTTCTTTTTTATCTTGTACATATGTTGTGGGACCAGGTGTCATGTAGTTGCACATAGTCCACAGTAAATGCTATTTTCCTATCTCCTGTTGTATTCAGTTGAATAGAGCATTAAAGGAAAAAAATGGATGAAAGAAGAAGAAAATGAAGACCTTATAGTCAAAATGTCTCCATGTGTTTTTGCTCTGTTTTTAGACCTCTATGACTTGGAACATTATCCACTCACCATGTAAAGATGTGTGTATTTAAAGTATATCTCCTCTTTTTGATTTGCAGTCAGAATAACAATGCATATAAAAGGTTATATTCCTCGCAATTTGTGTCACTCTTTTTGTGCCACGGGTAATGAAAAATGTACATGGCTTTCACTGAAAGTGAATGCTTACTATTTAAACACTAGAATGACCAACATAGTGTTGAGAAAGGTGAATAAATGTTCACATGCATTGTTCCTTATGCAGGCTGGTACTGGGCTCCGGTTGATGGAGTACATGCTCCAGTGAAATGACAGACCAGGGAAATAACAATCAGAATATCTCTGGAAACCCATTTGCTGCCCTCTTCAGTTCCCTTGCTGATGCAAAGCAGTTTGCATCTGGCCAAAAACTACAGCAGCAAGCTGAACCACCTTGTAAGTTCCTTGTTTACTGCTCTATACTGGGATCCCAAAAGCATCTTAGCACAAAACTTACTGTTGAATGGTAGAACGAGATTCATGTTAACCTCTTTCTCCACCAGTTAAGACGATCTTAAGGCTACTGGAGTATGTATAGTAAACCAATCAAAAGCATAGAAAATGTGTATTGTATTTATGAGTATACAGTGGATCCAAAAGTCTGAAACCACTGTGAAAATCGATGAATGTTTTCATTTAATCCTGCAAATAAACAACCGCAAGTTTTAGAATTTCAGAAAAGACAAGTTAAAGGAGAAATAAATATTTAAGATTCTGTTTTTAGGTCTTTATTCAAATGTAAGCAAATTTGTGATATTGACCATGTTGAGGCCTTTGTACATAAAGTCCAGATTTTTTGAGTCTTATCTCCATTGAAGCTCCTGTTCAGACGACTCTCAGGTGGATTTGATATACTCATCAGAGAATTTTGTCACTGTTAATGATCAGAGATTAAAGCAAAGGGGTATAAAGCAAAGGGGTATAAACACTAATAGATGCTTTTTCACTAGTGGTCTCGGCCTTTGGTCCCCGCTGTATATTGTGATATATCTTATTGTACTCTTGTCATGTTATTGTTGTGATGTCTTACAGCGGAAGACTCTGGGGAGAGCCAGTCCGAGTCAGACAATTCAGTGTCTGACAGCATAGAGGACAATGATGACTCGGTGGCAGAGATCAGCCGCTCTTTTCGCTCGCGGCAGGAGCTCTGTGAGCAGCTCAATGTCAATCACATGATCCAGCGGATCTTCCTTATCACTTTAGACAACAGTGAGTGCTTTCTG